AATAGAAATTTAGAAAAGGAATCTGTTCTTCAGCCTCAGGATGAAACTCAAAAATGGCAATTGTAATGCAACTTTGAGGACTACATGTACATGGGTCAACCATGAAGGTTGACCTCCATGGGTCAACCATGGGTAACTTACAGTGTAAGGTCCAGTATACATTGGAATTTACTAGAGTACAAAAAATAACAAAATGTTTAACCCCAGGCAGAGCCAGTGTTTCCCCTGGCTAATGAACTGAGCGAGGTGGTAACAATTCAAATTGATGATTGAAACAAAATTTACAGTCTGCAAACTGAAAAGAATGCAGCGCTCACAAAAATGCGCGATGATTCCAAAAACACATAGAAATTGTGAGTTCTTGATACATGGAGGTAAAGGAAAATGCTCATATATTACACAAAATGAAAAATGTTTAATTGATATTTCCTTTTTTGCCAATCTTCACAGCGAGGTGGCGATATTGGCAAAAATTGAGCGAGGTGGTCACTGAAAGTGGCGAGGTGGGCCACCTCACATTTGAATGGGCAGGGGAAACACTGGGCAGAGCCAACGGGTTTGTTTAATTGTCAGCATTTGTTTAATTAACATGAATTTTGTGTCTGGAGCTGCTGATTAAATTTTAATGTCCCTCATACATGTCAATTGTATTGGTGACTTGGCAAAACCCAACAATAAAGTTGTGATTTGTAGAAATAATAAAGTATTGCTGCAATACTTAATAATTCTACAAATCACAGCTTTATTGTTGGATTTGCTTTTACAATTTATGTATATCCAGCCGGGATTCCTTGTATACAAGTTACATCTATATGTACATCACTGAATTTAAATTTATAACAATAGGTGCCCTCCAATCCCCCACCCTTTTTTTAAACAGTACACATTACAGGCAGTCACATTAGCTGCCTCGGCAAAAATTACTCAAGTCATCCTGGAAATGTTTGAGTGGACAAGTAGTGTGACCACTGATGGGCATTCAATCTTGTTATGTGGTGTACATGTACATTGACCATTCCTTCCTCCATGCACTGACTACCAGGGAGGAGAAGTCTATAGCATTCAAGGCCACTTCTGGTAAATTACTAAGTAGTAGACTCATCTGGAAAACCAACTACTGTGATTGATAGTACTGTCCTTAAAGGGAATATACAACATTTGCAAACATCGAAAAATAAAACTACCAAGTTTTTACGAAATACCTTACTAGGATGTTGGTAAATGACAGTCTCAAGCATCTTGTAAAATTATGGCACCTGGTGTGAAGTCATTTTCAAGAAAATGGTATTTTTGTATACATTTCCAACGGTGGTCGGCCGACCAGCGTTGGAAAAACCTAACTATTTTTCAACTACTGCTCCAAATTAACCATTTTTTCAGTCCAAATTTTGTTTGCTATTGGTTACATGTTTCATGAACGGGTGCAGGCCAGCTAGACTGTTTCTCGTGCCTTACAATTTTCCATCATCTATAAATTGATCCATTTTATTTTTTGTGGAGTCAGGGAACCAGACCACTTAAACATTTTTGTTTTTCTTGGTTTTTCCAACCCTTTCGAACACAAAACTTAAAAAATGTCAGTGTAACAATATTTGATCTATATCTACTAACCCCTCAAGTAGTTCATTTCTGCAAATTACATCAAAAACCAATGATGTACATTCCCTTTAAGGCATGGAAGGCTGCACTTTGTTGAAGTGCCTAGTTAGAAGTGGTCAAGGATGATGCCGTGCCCTTCAGGAGTGGTACGTTATCCAAATAGACCAATCCCAAGTTATCAATTCTATCATGCTGTGTCCACCACTTGCCTGCTTTGTCTGTTCATGGTCTGTTGAATGAGTCTGACTAGTCACAGTGCTGGCTTGACATACAAAATATAATGATTTGACTTTCGGTGACTAGCCTTTGTTTAAAAGTAAGGCAGGGGAGGTGGAATTGAATTTTGACTGTCTGTGACTGTTTAAACAGGCATGCAACTGGGAATTTAGAAAAAACGAGGAAATTCCAAACCACAAAAGACTTTGTACAGTGTTTTTTCAATTTAATGTAATGGCATTCCTGAGAAATATAAACGAGGAAATCAGCGGATCCGAGGAAAAGTTGCATGCCTGATAAATAGCAGGAGGATTAAATAAGTACAAATTTTACATACATGTGTGTGCACATTGTGTACACTGTACATGTATGTACACAAAAAGATAGGCTATTGTCATTTTGACAAGTCATGCATGAACATAATGGAAACGGAACAAACTTTGTACTTGTATGCTGAAGAATAACCATAAACCCAGGATGCTCTATAGATCTACAGAAAACTGAGGTAACTGACTTCTGTAATATGGGGTCAAGTGAACTTTGCTATTAATATTTCAAGTGACCTCTCCATAATCCAATTACAAAATTTACCAATACATGTACCATGTGAATCATTACAATCATGCAAAGGTTAACTAGTGGTGCGATTCCAATCCTTTTTTGGGGGGGGGGTTTAATTCCTCTATTAGGTTTGGATTTTAGAAACTAATAAATTTTACACAAGCTAAAGAAAACAACTGAAAATCTCCAAAATTTGCTCCATGGTCTCTGGTTGTAATCACTTGCTAGTGTACTAAGTAATAGTGGTCTTATGAATTGCCTGCCCATTAACCATTCGACTGATCAGTGAGTCCCCCTCCCCCATTTTTCCAACTTTACAGCTCCAACCTTACTGTTTGTGGGACCCCCCCTCCCCCCCTCCCCCCCCCCTCCCCCCCCCTCCCCCCCCCCAAACAATGACTTCTTACAAAAAAAGTTATTAAGTTATTACGGGTGAGTTGTAAATGAATGTGCCAGTCGAGAGTGAAAAACCAACGAGCCTCCTTTAATTATAGTTATACACAGCATATCACGACATGTTCACGGTGGACGCCCTCTTCATTGCAATATAGCCTGACGGTAAGGGATTCCACCGGTGTCATGCCAAAAACTGTCCGATGCGGTGCCAAATAGTGTCCGCTGAGCATGCACAATAGACGCAGGACACATTGTGTCCGGTGCTAAGTATAATGTCCGAGCGCTGTCATGTATTGCAGCACGGAGGAAAGATTTCCATATACGAAGTTCACTCAACACCCTGTGTACAAACCCTATGAGATTGGACTGAAAAATTCTAAGTGTTTTCTAAGAAAATGCTCAAGTATTTTCTCACTGCTCAAATTGACTTTGATGACATGAAATTGCTATCTGGGGGCTAGTCAATACAGAGGAAAATTAGTGAACTTCGTATATGGAAATCTTTCCCAGCACGGATTTCAGTCCATTCTTACAATACTGTTCCTCCATTTTCTTGCCCTATACTGAAAAAAAAACGATGCTCAAAATGTGAGCGAAACTGTTATTTAGCAGCCAGAGGAATAATTCGCACATTGACCACTATCAGGCTACTGAGTGCAGTCTACACACGTACACACTTGACCTGACATGCCCGACACGAAAACACAAAGCTTTTAGCCGAATGCAAGTTTAAATGTCAGAAATATCAATTGAAAACAAATTCCACAATCAGTTTAATAATAACATTAACAGATAGAAAAGTTTGTTGAAACAAAATTATGAAAGGAAAATTACCGGAAGATGAAAAACAATTTCATTCGTGACGTCTTGGAAGCTGACCGCAAGCACGCCATAGGATGCACGCTAAGCGGACACTACTTGGCACCGGACAGTTTTTGGCATGACACCGGGCTAAATTTTGCCCAACCATGCTAACGCACGCGGAAAAAATGTTGCAACCTGACGCCACTTTTTTCTTCATACATCATCTTAATGAAGGTTAGTCATTGCAAAAATGATGATAAGACATGAATCTAGGACTGAGAAACATTTCCAACATTGTCCAATTTTGTTCTTGACTCAGTCTCCATATAGGCCTATAACTTAGTATAAATAAGTTAACTGTCTTTGAGTTGTACACACAACCGCATGAATTGAAGTGGCGTCAGGTTGCAACATTTTTTCCCCGCACGCACCCAACATACATGACATACCCATGGTTTACCTAGCTGGAGTTACCCAGCCCTGAGTTTTATCATTGGGTTGTCTATAAGGGCTGGAGCGAATTTTTCTCGTAACTTGTAGTATTTGCAAAAAAAATTGGAAAATGTTCAATTTTGTCCCCGTTACACACTAATTGCAACTGCAACTCACCCCAAACTTGCCTGGAATAACCATTACACAGGTCCTTGAAGTAAAAAACGATCCACGATGAAGATTCAGCCTACAATTGCAGTGAAAACAGGAGGAATAACTGCTAACTTGACAACCTTGCTGGATTGGCCAGGACCGCAATTGGTTTGTGCACACAAAAAAATTGTGTACAATGAATGGCGGTCGATTAACAGGCACAGAGAGAGCGATCGCTGTCAACTACTCGGTTTTGCCGGCTGCGCTGGCTGTTGGCGCATGACGTCACGCAGAAGCGTAACAACTGATGACTGTTTTATGCACTATTGGTTGCGGTTCCAGTACCAAAGCTGTGATGCGAGTGGTAAACCTCATATTAGTGCATGAAACAGTCATCGGGTATTACGCTTCCGCGTGACGTCATGCGCCAACAGCCAGCGCAGCCGGCAAAAACGAGTAGTTGACAGCGATCGCTCTCTCTGTACTTGTTAATCGACTGCCATTCATTGTACACAATTTTTTTTGTGCACAAACCAATTGCGGTCCTGGCCAATCCAGCAAGGTTGTCAAGTTAGTGGTTATTCCTCCTGTTTTCACTGCAATTGTAGGCTGAATCTTCATCGTGGATCGTTTTTTACTTCAAGGACCTGTGTAATGGTTATTCCAGGCAAGTTTGGGGTGAGTTGCAGTTGCAATTAGTGTGTAACGGGGACAAAATTGAACATTTTCCAAAATTTTTTGCAAATACTACAAGTTACGAGAAAAATTCGCTCCAGCCCTTATAGACAACCCAATGATAAAACTCAGGGCTGGGTAACTCCAGCTATGGTTTACCATACCTTACAATCTTTCAACAACAAATCCTGAGAATGCCACTCAGAAGTCCTCCAACAGTCCAAGTCCAAGATATTTAGTGCCCCAACCACTGCTGCACGCGATGAGGCGGATGAAGCAACGCAACGGCGTCCAACCTGAGCTGCCTTCACACAAAACCACGGAAGTCGTTTGTTGTGTGTGCACGTCGCACAAGTACAAATTGGTGCACATGTACCCGGTATGCTGTCACTTGTCTAGCGCGCTTATTTGCCGCGCTAGCGCTGCACAATGCGGGTATGCATCAGGGTGACCGTAAGGATATGGCCAAATTCTGCTAAATGCAATTCAAAAATCTGTCGGATTCATCAAAAATCTGCCAAATTCCCCAGAATTACTCGAAATACACTATAAACACGTAAAATCACATGCAGATGTTGTAGTACTGCCTTAGTTAAGGCTCAAATAACATTATAATCAATCTATAGTCACATAAAGATGTTATAAAAGTGCGTAAATTTCAGGCAAAATGCGGGCTTGCGTCACATCCAAGTCTAGTTACTTCCCAGTGAACCTCAGCACCTAGACCAGCCAACCTATCCCATTATGCAAGGTTTTGTTGAAAAGATTGAAGCTTTTTTAAACAAATGTACCATTTGTTTTTCAAATTTGATACGTTTTTCTGTCAATATTCATTTTTGCAGAATTCTGCCAGAAATCTGCCAAAAAAAATCCAATCTGTCAAATTTTCTGTCAAACTCGTTATTTAACAAAAAATCTGTCAAAGTTAGCTGAAAATCGGCTAAAACGGTCACCCTAGTATGCATTTGCTAGTCTTAGATCAAGACGTTTAGTTGATGTATATTACATACGCCGTTAGAGGGCGGTATCACAACAAATCATGGCTCACATCATTGATCAATATACACAGTATATGGAGATCAATGGCTCACATCACCCACGAATCGCTTGCAATTTTATGAAGCCTGGGAAGCAGGGACAGGGTGGCATTGGTTTTTTTCGGCCGTTGCTTATTGGTCCGCACAATTAATTAATCCTTTCGAAGCTTCATAATGGCCCATTTCGAAGTGTTTTGAATTGCAAGCCAGGTTCCCGGACGTTTGCTTTCCATTGAAAAAAAATCCTGCAAACCACAAAACGGCAAATTAGCAAAATAAAAATGTTCCAAATGACTTTAAAAAAAAAATGTTTTTAAAGAGAAATAAAGGAAGAAAAATAAACATGGCCGATTGATTCATTATGTATAGCGCCTTCTACTGTAATTCTCTTTTATAGTCGCGAATAGAGTTTGAAAGTTGACCCCTTGTCAGTGGTGCAGCGTGTAAAAGTCGGAGATTATGGTACATTTCTTAAGAAAATCCTCGGGAAAGGTCTTTGTAATATTGCTACTAACATCTCAATGTATGGAAACTGAACATTGCATGACGTCAAAGAAGAGAAATATTCTTGCCAACATTTGACCTCTCACTTCCGGAAATACTTGTGGAACTCGGAGCCCTCGTAGAAAGATGAACATTTATGAAATAATTTTGTGGCGCGGTCACAGGGGTAAAAACTGAACTGAACTCAAATGTCTTTGGACACATTTTTTTTAAATTGACTTGAAGGACTAGTCTAATTCTCATTTACCAACAAATCCAAAATCCAGACGTGAAACTTGTTTTTTACCCATTTCTTTCTGATTTCTCATCATTTCTTGTGGAATGCAAATTCCAACATGAATGTTTCTCGATCAGGGGTGATTACGGTAGTTGTAATTTCTGTCAAAATATATGTAGCACGAGAAAGGGCAACCCCGTGTAAAATGCCCAAAGAAGGGTCCGCGGGCGGTCCGGAAGCTCAAAGACAAAATGGTGCAACCTCGTCCCCAGTGCTTACTTTATTTCCAGCACGGTTTCCAATAGTAAACCCTGGATAGGAAACTTTCTTCCTGTATCCTGATTCGATACCGCAAATGGCTAGGCTAGTTATGGATTTTTATCGTGTACTTGGTGTTGTTATTCACAACATGCAGTACGTGTTTTCGCGATCATTCGTCCACGCCTTCTCGAAAACATTAATTTCCTTTCCAATTTGTTAATATTAATTTGAAATGTGATACTGCATGTTGTTTCGTTAAGATCGTAACAGTTTAATTAAATAAAAATGTGTTTTTCGTAACTCACGCCATGCTCGCGCTGCTACGAAGTTTTTACCCCAGACACCGCATACAAAAACCAAACGCTAATGTAACGCACATGCAGGCACCAGACTATTCCTCATTTGCATACGCGTTCACAAATCTTGCACATGCAAATGATCCAATACCTGGGTGAGAGAGCAGGTAGTGATGGGCGCGTACTGCTCGACACCCTGGTATTGAAAATTGCGGCTCTCATATTGGGTGCAGCCCAGTAATCGGTCTGAAATTACCTACGCCGGCCAAATTACGATTTGCATGCCCTCAAACTCAGTAGGCCTATTAGAGCATTTTGAAGGCCGTGAACTTGATGATTTGTTAAATAAAGAGGACTGCGAGCTCGTATTTCTGTGAAATGTCGATGATGATTAGGCCTATTGGCTCTCAGCAATGGAGCGAAGGCGTCCATTTTCAAAATGGCGATGGGCTTCATGAGTGCTTATAATATAGGGGTAATCATCTTTGGATGGAATTTTCTCCCAAAAGCCATTTGTTAACCCCCAGAAAATTGGACCGAAAATTAAAGATGATGAAATATGCTTTAATTTGATGTACGTCTTGAACACCTCAGAGAGTTTTTAGTATTTTTCCTGAATTTCTAAAGTGGGGGCTTTTATCATTGGGGTCTATGGAAATTTATTTGTCTGCGGCAACCCTTTGAGGTATAGAAAAATTCCGCGAACCGTTATTATCACGCAATTGAATAATCACCTGAAACACTGAGCAGTATCACAGCGAATTGTCATCCCATGATTGGAACTGCTATGACAACAACGTCTTGGGAATATTATAAAAATGTCTCCATTGAAAAATGGGGCCGGGGAAATATTCGCTTGTACCCCCCGCCCTGCAAACAGGACACTGGGATACTCTGATGAATTCACGCTCTGAAAAATGGTTGGATTTTGCGTGAAACGTGACCTGCGCGTCATCAAGGTCATGACTCTGCAAGGTTTGAAACGGTCGTTAAGACTGATTCATTACTCTTTTATTCCAGTTTAGAGATGTTTTTTTCTCGTTGAAAAGCGTAATAATGCAGGAAATTCTGTAAAACTTTATATCTGTGTTTTAAATTTACAATTCCCGTCACTTGCTCAGGCTTAGCCTTGTTCAAGGCGCTAGTTGTTCGGCCGTAACGCGGTAAACGATATCTTCGCTAGCGCTATGCATGCAGTCATTATGTCTATGCATGCAGTGCATTAAAAATACAGCGCGAACAGCGACCTCACGTGGCCACTATTTTTATGCAAATCAGTTGGACCCAATCTCCGTTTCGAATCACGAACGGTCCAACCTCGTCCCCAGTGTTTACTTTATTTCCAACCGTGTTTCCAATAGTAAACCCTGGATAGGAAACTTTCTTCCTGTATCCTGATTGGATACCGCAATTGGCTAGTAATGGATTTTTATCGTGTACTTGGTGCTATTATTCACAACGTGCAGTACGTGTTTTCGCGATCATTCGTCCACGCCTTCTCGAAAATACTAATTTCCTTTTCAATTTGCTCATATGATTATGAAATATGATACTGCATGTTGTCTCGATAAAGATCGTAACAGTTTGATTTCAAAAATCATGTTTTCGTAACTCACGCCGTGCTCGCGCTGCTACGAATTGACTCTGTTTTTACCCCAGACACCGCATACAAAACCAAACGCTAATGTGTAACGCATATCCAGGCACCAGACTGTTCCTCATTTGCATACGTGTTCAAAAATCTTGCACATGCAAATAATCCAATACCAGGGTGAGAGAGCAGGTAGTGGTGGGCGCGTACTGCTCGACACCCTGGGGACGAGGTTGCAAACGGTCGGATTGCATCATGCGACGCTCAAAATTTTGTCCACATGGTCCGCAATGAAACAGAAATCACATCCGGTATGGAATGTGCTCATTTCTATGGGAAGTTTTCGGTTAGCATTTGCGCACATTGTCTAACTGCGGTCTTGAACAGCTGCAGCCAGATCGGATTTATACATAGGTCATAGGCCATTTCCTTCACAAGATTCTGTGGAGGTCATCAGTTAACCCTAACCATAGAGCTAGGATGCCCTAACCGCCCCCAATGCTACAAAATACCACTGAGTAGTAACCTGTAGTATAGCCTTGGTTCAATGCTCTCGTCGTATATTCGTCCCGTACGCGGTCAATCGTCGGCATATATCCTCACGCGCTATGCACATGTAAAAATACAGCGCGAACAGCGACCTCACGCGGCCACTTTTTTTATGCAAATCAGTTGGAGACGATGTCGAGCCTTGGTTCAATCGTCCATGTGAGGTTTTGGGGGTGGTGCTCATTATGTTAATAGCCTTAGCTGACCTTAAATGTCGTTTTCTTATTGGTCGATCGTTGCGTGGAAACTTGCATAGTGAAACGTAGCACCGTACATAGTCCATACACGTACACATTGTGTGTCTCTGCACACGGCACCAATGCACAAAAACTGTGGTTCCTGTCACGTCCGCAAAAGGCGGAAAGCTGCAAATAATTTGATGACGTCCGGATTTACCAAGGTGTGATTGGACACTCCACATATTAGCCCCGCCTACATTATCTGTATTCGCATCACTGATCTCTATAAAAAAAACTGGATAGCGGATATGCATACAACATTCACACAGTAGACTTTGCATATTGACCAATTCGCCCCCGGTCTCACGAAGATGGCCGCGTATAATACGAACGTTCTACGCGTAAATACGCGCGCGTTGTATCAACAGTTGACGCGCATTTTGGTCACGTACACATTATTATGATGTTCTAAAAGGAACACATTTACGTAGTGATTATTATTTCAAAAACGCCGAAAAAGTGATTTGCGGCATTATAAAAGTAACCACTACGTTAGAAAAATTGTAGTAAACCTTGGTCAGTTGGTCGGTGGTGGTGGCCAAAATATAAGTCAAGTGATCCGCGACGTTACAAAAGAAATCAAGCTGTCTATAAAGACGGCAACTTGTCCTTTGTAGATCACCAGCCGGTCTCACCAATATGGCGTCAAATTCGTACATTGTGCGGCTCTTTATTAGCTATCCAGTCTTTATATAGAGATCAGTGATTCGCATACGAGGTCGTGCGCTGGAAATCTAGCGCAAAGTAAAGAAAAACATAAGCTTTGGCCGACGATTGAACCGTACAGCAAGGACCCAGGCTAGGCTCGACATCGTCTCCAACTGATTTGCATAAAAATAGTGGCCGCGTGAGGTCGCTGTTCGCGCTGTATTTTTACATGCATGTGCATAGCGCGTGAGGATATACATGTATGCCGACGATTGACCGCGTACGGGACGAATAACGACGAGAGCATTGACCAAGGCTAGTGGTATTTGGTGCTTGACCCCCAAACAGCCCGGAAAGTGTGTCGGTTAAACTGACTCCCTCGCATTGCATCACAAAATATAGATTTTCCTCTTTCACGTCACATGAATATAATTTCTTCATGATTAAAGGCGAATAGTTATGTGCACTTTTCCTTTGAAAATGGGCAACTCAGTGAAAATTTCGCGTTTCCTATGGAGGTCACGGCACATTTCCCCGATTTTTGAGGGTGCGGGTTTACTTCTTCGAACGGCATACGTGTGAACCGTACCGTGTCGCGTACAATGCAGGGCTTTAATTTTCTGCATATAATGGGTGACAAGGTTCTCCATAAGTAGGGGAAAGGGGCAGAGGAGTTGGATTTTCATTTCGCTCGTACCCGTACCCCCGCCCCGCAAACAAAGTTTGCTCGCCATACAGAAGGGCAACCTCCGTCACCTTATGACAGGTCACCCTCCCGAAACGATCCTAAAAATAGCGTAGTGTCGTACTCACGCGTGCGCAGTACTACCAATGAGGCCACATTTCATGGAGTCGGATATTCACGCTACACCGGTGTCACGGTCTCACTTCTCCGGCGTGCTAGCTTCTCCAAAAGGGAAATTTCGCTTCAACACGCATGCACAAAATTGCGCAGTAGTGTACATTTCCGTCACTGTATTAGTGTGCTGAGTTCTTCGGGGCTGTTCTTGTGTACGTAAGATATTTGTATGCTGAGAATTTTCGTGGCGCGCACTATTAACTCCCAATATCAAAGACTTGAAATGCACATTTTTTTAAGCCGTGGTTGCAAAAATAAGGACAAAATGGACCACGAACGAGCAAGGAACACGGACCAAGGAGTTCGTTCTTAATTATTCCTCCATGAACACACACATGCATGACGCTGGGAACACAAATCAGAATGCTTGCAAGACCATGGAATGACTTGACCCACAGGAAGTGTTACATAACACATTCTTGGGTATCCCTCACTGTGTTATTAATGGGCTTGGTAGACTTCAGAAAACAGCCCGAGGAAAAGTAAGCACAGCGGACACATGAGCATGAATCGTGCTCATGTAACGTGCACTGTAACGTGCTCAATTATCCGCCGAATCGACCCGGAGAAGCTAGCACGCCGGAGAAGTGAGACCGTGACACCGGCATTAGACAAAGCGGCGAAACGGCCACTCTAAGCCACGATGGCCTTGGCTCGTGGCTTTGCCACTCGTACGTGCTTACTTAATCTTTGCTCCAGTCGCTTCGTGTATTTCGCAGCTCCTCCACTCTAAGCCACGGGTCAGAGGAGTTGGATTTTCATTTCGCTCGTACCCCCGCCCTGCAAACAAAGTTTGCTCGCCATACAGAAGGGCAACCTCCATCACCTGAGAAATTGAAATGGCGCTGTCGACACACAAATATCATGAAGCCCACAGTGTGTACAGGAGATTGACCAACAGAGAGAAAACTTTAATCGAATGGTTCCATGGAAATACACAAAGTTTGTTGGACAACGCCTTTGCAGTGTCGATGTTGCAGGATACGGACGTGAAAGTGCTTAGTGTTGGAGCGGGGGACGGTGCGTATAACAGTGTTTATAAAAAAAAATTGACCCGATGGGACCAACACACAAACAAATTGCTGTGTCACTTGACTAACTTTTGGACGGTTTTAGTGAGTCATAGTAAATTTGACTCGTATTTAACACCACATGCATCGCATCAGACTCACTGAAATTAACGTAGCGAGTCAAAAGGGCATTGACTCACTTAGAATGTTTATTGTTGACTCACTTGTCCCTTGAAAATGAGTCTGGTTTGGCATATGACTCAGTACCAAGCTGGCACCTAGTCATTCCCGAGCCCGTGCGGGCAAGCACAGGAAACCCGTTTTTTGCATCAATCCGCCATTGTTTTTGTCGCGTAGTAGTGGGAGCCAGAGCTCTTTCTTTTTCTTTCTGTTTTAAGGTATTTTCATGTTCAAAACGCTGCTATCGTGTTGTTAATAACTGAATGCAATCTACCCGATTCACGGTAGTTAGTAATTCCTTGTTATCAAGCACTGTTTGCTGTGTGTAGCCAAGCCTAAATTACAAAAGTGGCTTTGCCGTCGTACGCCTAGGTTTAACGTTAGTACTAGGCCTACATTGTGTTAGGCCTAGTGTTAGACGCAGTGAGCAAAGGCATTTTCTGATCAACAAGGTATATATGCCCTCTAAATCATTTTTTTACTTGTGTTACTGATGCTCTTGTGCGTAAACTGTGTTCGAATTTGATGGTTTCTGCACATCGCAGTGTTTCAGCACAGGACTCAGCTAAAAAAACCCATTCAAGTCACATGACTCACATGTATCCATTCTGAGTAATTGGACTCGTTTATCACATGGCAGTATGTCACTACACGGACAAAATGGTGACTCATTTAAATGCAACAAAATGAGTCAAAAGACCCAAATATTATTCCAGCCCGAGTAACTTGACTCATTTCATGTGAGTCAAATGACTCACTTAAGTCCAAAAGTGTCTCACTACACGGACAAAATCATGACTCACCTAAATGAGTCTTGTGACTCGGCATTTATTTTCTGTGAAGGTTTCGAATTTAGCCCTTGGAACAAAGGTAGCCTAATCCTCCGTGTGGGTATTTTTGCCTAGCCTACAAAAAATGTGTTTAGAGAGTAAACACAATTCTAAACACTTAATTGCTTAATCAATGTTTAGATGCTAAACATTTTTAGCATGAGGTGATAGCAGGAAAGTGTTTGAAGTGTGTTTCCTCGTTGCTGGAGTTACCCAGCCCTACATTTTATCAGTGGGTTGTTTCTGTGTTGTTTGTGATTTTTTAATTTGTCTGCTTATAATCAATTTTATCACTAAATGATCAAATTATTTATAAGCAGCAAAATTTCCACTGATCTTCTCCTGTTGGTTATGTTATATGTGTTGTGCAAAATGTAGGCTAACTCCATGCACACATCTTGATCACTGTGAATGCATTTTATACTGTACTTTCGTATGAAGAACTTTGTACATGAAAACCTATTGACAAATTTGTGACAAAAGTGAGATCCTGTAAACAGGAGATAGCCAATCAACAGCCACGAATTTTAACCAATTGCTGAGAAGGCTTGGAGGGGCAACCAGCCAATAAGAATTCTTGTTCTGTGACACTTGGCAAGGCCTGGCTATGGGCCAATGAGACGTAGGGTTGGTTGTTTACATTCTAGAAGTAGAAAGTTTAGGCGGGATGGAAAAGTTGCTGGCCAGTCACTTTTGTCTCAGCCTCTGAAGAAACAGCTTGGATAGCAAATTTTACTTCACCGCCACCTTCCCCTCCTCCTCCATGGCATTTTTTGAAGCGGATAAAACACCCCATGGTTCATTAATGATTTTTTACTCCTGCCATTACGATTTTGTAAATAATACTTAGGTTAAACAAAGCACAGTGTGCAACATTATGTAAGTACTTTTATGAGTAGTTAGTATTTTATTGTTGCTGTCAACATGTCTTCCCCTGAGTCAGTACAACAGGGGAGGATGAACCGTTCCGTCTTCTGTAAGTTCAAACGAAGAAAGAACGGTGCATCAAAATCGTGGACTTGGCATACAATGTATGTACATAGAAACAATTTATCATAAGCTTTGTGGTGATATAAAGTTTACTGGCACTTTCTTAATAGATTTTCAGATCGGCCTATCGTAAATAGGTCATTTATTGCATTGATGATTGAGCTGTGGTGCTCCGAGTCAAATGGTGCTTGGAGCTGCCCTTGGGCCTTTGTGGGTGCCCAAAAATCGGAAGAGATATGGTCTCCGAGTCAAATGGTGCTTGGATGAGCTATTGGTGCTCTGGGCCTTTGTGGTGCCCAAAATTTGAATATTGATAATAATAATAGTGTGCTACATGGTTGATGGGTCGGCTGCCCAGATTTCGGTACCCGACATTTTTTGAATAAAAACCTTCTGGCTGAGGCGTGCACACAATTGTTCCAAACAGAGCTAGTCCTAGTATTATGTGCACTGATGTGGTAGACGTCTTACTAAGCCGGATTGGTCCGAAGTCCCATTGGTCCGACGTTCCATTGATCCGACGCCCCATAGGATTAGTACGGGTTAGGGTCCGACGCCCCATAGGATTAGTACGTTATACTGCTTAACATATTCCAACGAATTCTTCTACCTTACTGCAGGTCATGTGGAAAGACCGATCTTTTCCTGTCTCAGAGACAGCTTGGGATATTCCGAGATGAATGCTACCATTGTGGAGCCAGAGGCAAGCAGCATACAGCGCTTCCAGGATCTAGTTGCTAAAGAGCCTCTGCAGGGTGTGAATTTTGACTGGAGATGTCAAACTTTCCAGAAATACGACAAATCCGAAGAGGCGGTGGGCGACAAGTTTCACATCATAACTTGCCTCGGCTGTCTGTACTACTTGGGAGACTTGGACGAGGTTTTAAAAAACCTGTACAGCAGGCTTGAAGATGGCGGCATTCTACTACTTGGGGTGGCACAAGGTTGGCCTAAAATAATAATTTACTCGCACAAGTTCACGTACGGTGCAAGCACGTGTGCACGAGCGCCCACCTGTACCTTCGGTTCATCCGGTTCGTTTGTAAAAACGTCATACACGCCGCGCACCACTGTTTACTCCCGCCCATCGGATAAACGCTCGAGGTGCGTTAACTTCCGGTGTAGCGTGAATATCCGACTCCATGAAATGTGGACTCATTGGAAGTACTGCGCACGCGTGAGTACGATACTATGCTATTTTTAGGATCGTTTCGGGAGAGTGGCCTGTCACGTGCGAGAGATCAACCAATAACAGGGAAATAGGGGTCCGATTTTCATAGGAGTCGGATTTTCATGTGACACCGTCTGAAGTACGTACGCATGGTTGGATTGAGATGACGTCATACTAACGAACCAGATAGATAGAGATGTGTTCGTGTGACACAAGCTGCTTCGTGTGTTTCCACAAATTCTTGTTTCTTGGAAGGGCAAAATTATTCGTCGTTACGTCAATATCGTATATATACTACTAGCTAGCACAAGAAGCTACAGCTGAATAGGACCTTTAGTTCTGTAGACAGGCTTCACTGAGAAAACCTATGGCCTTTTGTGGAAAAGAGTAACGGGTTGTTTGAAACACAGCACGTGATACAGCAAAAATAAGACCAAATAGAGATATTGATTCAATAATATTAAAAAAAAAAAGTACGGAAAGATTTCCATATACGAAGTTCTGTATTGACTAACAAGCCCCCAGATAGCAATTTCATGTCAACAAAGTCAATTTAAGCAGTGAGAAAATACAAGCATTTTCTTAGAAAACACTTAGAATTTTTCAGTCCAATCTAATAGGGTTTGTACACAGGGTGTTGAGTGAACTTCGTATATGGGAATCTTTCCAAAAGGACGTACACAAATCTTTCCTGAGGGCGCGTTATTAGAAGAATTAATTTTTTTGTGTTGGAAAACTTCTTGAGTGCGTTTTAAAAACTACAAGATATTTTTCGAGAAGGAAATAACTTTTTGAGGCCGAATTGGTGCACTCAAGTAAAAAACAATTACTGCCTCCGATTAATAGGCCTACATGCCTTAAACGTGCCTTACCGAACATTCGTCCGACAGAAGTCTGACATTTCGGACTTACGAGGCATAATACACTTTATTTATTCTGCCTCATAGGTCCGACGCCTCATAGGTCCGACGCCTCATAGTCCGACGTCGGATAAAACGAGGCGTGGACCTAGTACGAGGCGTCGGAGCTATGGACCGTAACCTGAACAGGTTCATTGTCCGACAAGGCAAGAACGAGATTTTAGTGTACCTCCGACGCAGCTAATATAACAAGAACTGAGCCAGGACTGAGCATGCTTGGGCGCGGCGCGTGCCTTTTGACGCTGAAGTTTTCTTCTGTTCTTTTAGTAGTTTTCACCATTGAGGGGGCACTCCAATGTCTCAACATTTTGGTGAAATTAATGTTGCTTTTTGATTTAATTCAGGTGGAATTGGTTTTGGAAAGCTAGTGCAGTATCTTCAAACAAAACTGGACAACAGCGCCTGCACAGAACGCTACTCCTCCTGGGAAGTCCAAGACGCATGCAAGAACCTCAACATGGCCGTCTCACAGACGTACATCATCGAGGCGTACCTAGATATCTCGATGTGTCTAGACAAACCCCCTGACCAGCTCTCACAAGACGCGCTAGCTATGCTTGATTATATCACGTATAGAGAGGATTTCGTTCGGCGAGCACCGCCAGATTTGCTGGGCGAGGTGCTGAGGTTCTTAGGCAGCGAGTGCACGGAGAGGGGTCCGGCTGGGGAGTTCTTACTCGACGAGAGCACCGCCTTACTTGTCATACGTCACGAGGGATAAATTTTGCACTGTTTTGTTTTTAAAGTTTTGTTGGAAGGGGTTGCTTCTCTGGTGTAAAGGAATCTGATTTCGTGTTTATCCTAAACGTACCTACCGAATTATCAAAAAGTTTAAGTTTTTAGAGGAATTTAGAAAATTTAGAGGAATGTTAATGAAAAACAACTGCAACGGCACCCTCATACGTCAGGAGCCAATGTATTTTAACATTGTGATGATTATGTTTTATACCAACCTCGGTTTTAAACAACAACATGAACTGTGTAGTGACATTTCTTAGTGCTAAGTCATATGCTAGAATATCAGAATCTAATTGGCCAGCACTGTTAGTGGGCGTGGCTTAAGTCATCTACTGAGCAATACTGCATTTTGATTGGTTAATGCATCTCTGTACTTTAGCAATGATGTATAGGGATCATGTTGCCCTATATACATATAACTATCTGCAAGAACAGACAATATCAATGTACTTCTCTAACCGCAAATAAAAACAAACCACGAACAGCAGTCGTTTAATATCAGACTCAATTTTTTTTATTCAATGCATTTGATGCCTCATTCCATGGTGTACACGGGGTCTACCCGATGTTCCCCAATACCGATGTTTCCAGTGTACACATTACAGCCCAGAGAACCGTTTCAAATAAAACTGAACCCTTAAAAACTAAAGTTATGGCTCCATGATATTCCAAGTACGTCATGAACAATATGTGGATTACGTGTATATTTTTCAAAAGCAAAAATTTCACCCAATGCAAAGTGTTGTTCTTCAATTCCAACCCTGACTAGACCCACTAACGTAACTGGGGCGCTAGAACTCCTTTTTTGACATTTGGGAGATTTTTTTAAAGTTGCTCAGTTTTTAGAAGTTGCGCATAATTTTTGGCCGCAGAAAAAAATATGGAATTTTTTTTTTTAAGGGGCGGACTATTTTGACGTTGGTGGCGCCACTTACCCCCTATTATACTACCCAAAAATAGGCCACGTACATATCACCAAGATCAAATCGTGGGACAAAAAAAATCGAGCCTGGTCAAGCATTGGAATTCATTTATGCGTTGACAAAAGTAACCTATGAGGAATGTTTGATTGAATTATTTCATGGATGTTTGAATATTCAGGATGATTGAACTAAAACCAAGCGGTGTAGGCCTAGCCTTTATACGGTACCAACTATCGCAATAAATCCTATGTACTAAAACCTATGCTGAAGACAATCGTAACTTTTTTTGTTGTTCAGCATTTGCCACAATCGTGTCATATAACCAAGCAATCGAACCGATAAAACGAGAAAAAAAATTAAGAAATACAGAATGAAATTAAAATACAATAAAGACAACGAACCAACAATAACAAGTCCTCAGGTCCCATGTTACGTGAAATGTCATGTTTCCCTTTGCCGTCCCAATAATATGCCTACAAGATTATTTTGATTGATTTTATTTTGGTAAGATTTATATCAGTTTAACATTTTATTTACCTTCATTTCAAATAGGCCTTTGTGTATAAGAACAAACACATTAATGATCAATTAGGCCTACAACTTACATTGATTAATTAAATAAATTTATCAAAGCTGTATCATGATTTGTATAGGCCTGTATACCTTATTTAAATTGAATGCAGGATATGCGAGTTTACATTAGGCTATAACAAATGAAAAGGAATGCTCAATTCAGCGAGTGTTACAATAAAAATAAAAAAAGATTTCTGCGAATTGGATTGCATATTCGTCATAATCGGCATCGCATCCGTGAATCCAAAAGTCTAATCACGTATTTGTGATTCTATAAAGACAATGTACAGCCCTTGCTTTTGCTGCAATTTTCAGAAATATATGGATTTGGAAGATTAGAATATTATAGCAAATATTGTTAGACTGACTTGTTTCACGTTTTGGGCTTGTAGATGCTTGAAAAATCAAGAAAAGTGAGTGGTAACTGGTAAGAGTGTGTGAGTTCAAAGCTGGAAAATCAGGTAGAAAAATTTACTTTTGCTTCAAAATACTGTCCCAAATTAAAGAGAACATTGTGTGGGGTCGAAAATATAACTAATTTGAAGCACCTCATTTATTATCAGAATACAAAATGCAAGTGATTACGCCCACAGGGGTGGGCTAAACTACACAATCCCCGAAAATGGTTGACCCTTATTGCATAAATTGTTACAAGTTTATACTTTGCTTTATGTGGCCGACTCAACAGATAAATGCCGAACTTGTTCCAAATCGTTCAGTGACTGGTACTGCTGCAGCTTTACATGTACTTTCCAACGTGCAGTCGAGTCCAAACCGACCGCTATATATAACAAGCTTGATCTACGGGCTAGCAAATGTTTTAAATAACAACGGTACAGAACGAAGTGAACAGAAAGTAATCGATCGAGCTGTAAAAGCTACATATTACCGGTCTCGACCCGAGACCAGCCAAAATATCGAGACCAAAGGGGGCCGAGACCGAGACCAAGACCGAGACCACAGCTTCCGAGACCGAGACCGAGACCAGCAAAAAGTGGTCTCGAGACCGGTCTCGAGACCGAGACCGGTCTCGAGACCTACAACACTGGTGACAGGTCGCCCTCCCGAAACGATCCTAAAAATAGCGTAGTGTCGTACTCACGCGTGCGCAGTACTACCAATGAGGCCACATTTCATGGAGTCGGATATTCACGCTACACTGGCATTAGACAAAGCGGCGAAACGGCCACTCTAAGCCACGATGGCCTTGGCTCGTGGCTTTGCCACTCGTACGTGCTTACTTAATCTTTGCTCCAGTCGCTTCGTGTATTTCGCAGCTCCTCCACTCTAAGCCACGGGTCAGAGGAGTTGGATTTTCATTTCGCTCGTACCCCCGCCCTGCAAACAAAGTTTGCTCGCCATACAGAAGGGCAACCTCCATCACCTGAGAAATTGAAATGGCGCTGTCGACACACAAATATCATGAAGCCCACAGTGTGTACAGGAGATTAACCAACAGAGAGAAAACTTTAATCGAATGGTTCCATGGAAATACACAAAGTTTGTTGGACAACGACTTTGCAGTGTCGATGTCACAGGATACGGACGTGAAAGTGCTAAGTGTTGGAGCGGGGGACGGTGCGTATAACAGTGTGTATAAAAAAAATTGACCATGGGACCAAGTTTTCGAATTTAGCCGTTGGAACAAAGGTAGCCTAATCCTCCGTGTGGGTATTTGCCTAGCCTACACAAAAATGTGTTTAGAGAGTAAACACAATTCTAAACACTTAATTGCTATCAGTTTGTAAACAATGTTTAGATGCTAAACATTTTTAGCATGAGGTGATAGCAGAAAAGTGTTTGGAAGTGTGTTTCCTCGTTGCTGGAGTTACCCAGCCCTAAATTTTATCATTGGGTTGTCATTTAATGACAACCCAATGATAAAATTTAGGGCTGGGTAACTCCAGCTAGTTTCCTCGCTAAATACGTTTCTGTTGGCCAGACAAATATCCGCACAGTATACAAATATTGAATGCTTCGAGTGGTGTAGTAAAACTAGCCTCCCGAGGTGATCCATGGACATTCTATTTTCCCGAGGCGAAGCCCAGGGAAAATAGAATGCTCCATGGATCACCGAGGGAGGCTAGTTTTACTACACCACGAGATAAAGAATTCAATATTTGTTTTATAATACTTCACCCACAGATTCGGCTTGGTTTCAATATTTTGAATTATTTAAATCTGAACACAGTTGAAATAAACTTCAATTTCAATACAAAATTGGTGGAAACTGTATTTCTCTCTTCCAAACTACCCCTTCACGAAATGTTTGAACCAAACTCTGCGGCGCGCTCTCTTTGGAACAATACACTCTACGCGCAACGCGCACACCAGCATGCATTTGCACGCATAATACCGCGCCGTGGATGTTGCTACGGGTACAGTACTTTTGGCCGTGCACAGACAGATAACAAAAATAGAAAGTATCATGTGACTCGCTCTCGACCAATCAAGACGATGCCGAGTACGCTGTGTCATTTTGCAATCACTCTATGCCACTCATTTGAAGTACTTGGCACAATTTGCTCACTCGGTATCTGAAACTACAATACTGGTTACTGGTAGAGCTGACCCCAACCTCGTCCCCAGGGTGTCGAGCAGTACGCGCCCACCACTACCTGCTCTCTCACCCTGGTATTGGATCATTTGCATGTGCAAGATTTTTGCACACGTATGCAAATGAGGAACAGTCTGGTGCCTGGATATGCGTTACACATTAGCGTTTGTTTTTGTATGCGGTGTCTGAGGTAAAAACCGAGAGTCAATTCGTAGCAGCGCGAGCACGGCGTGAGTTATGAAAACACGATTTTTGAAATCAAACTGTTACGATCTTATCGAGACAACATGCAGTATCATAATTATTTCATATTAATATGAGCAAATTGGAAAGGAAATTAGTATTTTCGCGAAAACACGTACTGCACGTTGTGAATAATAGCACCAAGTACACGATAAAAATCCATTACTAGCCAATTGCGGTATCCAATCAGGATACAGGAAGAAAGTTTCCTATCCAGGGTTTACTATTGGAAACCGTGTTGGAAATAAAGTAAGCACTTGGGACGAGGTTGGCGCCGTGGATGTTGCTACGGGTATAGTACTTTTGGCCGTGCACAGAAAGATAGCAAAAAAAGAAAGTATCATGTGACTCGCTCTCGACCAATCAAGACGATGCCGAGTACGCTGTGCCATTTTGCAATCACTCTATGCCACTCATTTGAAGTACTTGGCACAATTTGCTCACTCGGTATCTGAAACTACAATACCCAATGATAAAACTACAGTACTGGTTACTGGTAGAGCTGACCCAACCTTCAAGTCAGGAAGAAATCGTTCGAAAACTTCCCCAAATATGTATTATCGCAATTTCTAGGAATTGTTATTTCATGAGTAGTTGGACACATATTATCTTTATGCCGAATTTCAGCTTAAAGGGGCAATAGGTCCTGAAATCCCCGAAAATTTTATGTTTTGGATTGTTTACTTAGCCTATTTCAAACATCTGGTTGAAAGGAAACCAACCTAATGTCTTACCGATCCCCGGCGAGAAAAGATGAAAAAAAACCGGGTGTTTACATCGGACATGACGGAGTACGAATACGTTCTTCGTGTCGCTGACCTTTACTTCCGGGTCTACCGGAAGGTCAAAGTTAGGTTAACTTGAAATACAGACTGAAGCCCCAAATTCAAAACGAACCGAATTTCTTCCAAACGATTTCGTTAAAACCTGGAACGAACTTGAACCCCCGTCTGAAGATGATAAAAAAATCTGACGTCATCATGACGTCATCAGGTATCAAATTACAAGAAATTTAAGTGCCAAATTTGTGAAAATAGTTTTAGTTATATCTTTAGAATTAAATAGAGTATCGTACGTGTTCGTTTTGGCGTGAGGTTGTAAATGATGCCTCGGGCAACAATTCTTATTCCTGGGTACAAAACCGCTTGACCTTCACTTCCGGTGTTACCGGAAGTGCAATAAAAATTGAATATATCCCGAAAGCGGAAGCTCTTTACTATAAGCAAATAAATTATGGAAGTGTTTAGAACGGAATAAGGACATACAAAAAAAACAGCATTATGATGTCATCATTTAAAAGGGCGCCTTCAAGCGGTACATCAAATAGGGTTTCTTTTTTTTTAATTTAAAACCATCCGTCCAATTTTAACCAAATTGCCCCTTCTTATTTTTTGTGAACTACATATAACTTTGCAAGGTTTCAAAATTATGACGTCATCAGACCGGAAGTTACTGTAGCGAGAATTTGAAAATGATCATTTGTTTGTTTATAAAATTCTATCATATGATCCGTTTTATGACTTTGGTCGTAGCCATATCCGTTACAACGTTGACCTTTTGATCTTTAATGCGGTGACGTCATCAAACCGGAAGTTAGGTGTATTTAATACATACAATTATATTTTCCATATTTTCATATGTTATTTCAACTTCATAATGAACATGCACATGTCCTCTCCGAACTAAAATCAGTATTGATGACATCATCAAACCAGAAATAAGAACTGTACGTGTACATAAAATGTATACTGAAATATGACACATTTTATTTTAACAAAATCATTGGTTGTACTGGAAAGGTTAAATTTTTGTGATCCTTTGTTGAGTTTGTTCTTACATAAAAAATAACTAAATTGGGCTGTTCATGTCAGAACAAAGTTTGTTCTGACATGAAATTATTCATAACTAAACTGGGCTGTGTCTAATGAAATATAGTTGTCGGCCCGACAGGGAGGTTTTGTTGGAAATAAATAAATAAAATAAATGAATATACTCTCCGTTTGTAACTCAACAAACGCCTTGACCTCTAGTTTGCATTTTTTTTATACACACTGTACACACTATTTCGTAAAAGGTCAGGGTCCGCGTGTATATAGCATACTTCACAATTTTGGATGCAAAAATTTTATGTAAAAATGTAAACTTCACGTAAAATCCGAATGTAAAGGGAATATACATCATTTGCTTTTGCTGTAATTTTCAGAAATGGATGGAATTGGGGGGTTGGAAATATAAAGCAAATATAGTTACACTGACTTTTTGGAGGTTTTGGGTTCGAAAATGCTATAAAAACCAAGAAAAACGATCATTTTCCTGTAGTCGGGTTCCCTGACTCCATATAAGAAGAAACAGAGCAGTTTACATACATTGGGGAATTGTAAGGTCAGGGAACCAGTCTAGCTGGCTCGTACCCGTTCATAGGTTTGTAATCGATTGCAAACAAGTGCCATGGTCAATTGGGGCCAGTATTTGAAAAAAAGCCCGTTTTTTCCAACGCTGATCGGCCGATCAGCGTTGGAAATTGATACAAAAATACCACTTTTCTTGAAAATGACAGTATACCAGGCACCATAATTTTACAGGATGCTTTAGACTGTCATTTACCAACATCCTATTAAGGTATTTCGCAAAAACTTGGTAGTTTTATTTTTCGATGTTTGCAAATGTTGTATATTCCCTGTAAAGACAGATTTTAAAGTACACATGCCGTCATGTGTACTTTAAAATCTGTTGTTTTTTTAGTCCTAGTATAGCTTAGCCTTGACCAAGGAGTTGCGGGCTTATCGATTCGCCGATAAAAAAAATAAAAATCGCCGATAACAAAATCCCTAATCAACTTGGCAAGGCATAATTGCGTGCACATATCGATGCCCGTACGCTGCTAGTGAGAAAGTAACTTGTACCATACAGCAAGGCTATGCTTGTACATGTACATGTACGTACGCACGTACATCACACACGTACTCGTACAACAGCCATGCACACACAGTACATGTACATGTACATGTACAAGTACATGTACATGCATGAGCTAGTCCGCGTCGTTCGACAGGCCACGCGGCGCGTATATCCCCCACACGTACGTACGTACACCCACACGCAGAACATAGTAGGCCTACATTTACTGCCTTATTACACCATGCGTACAGTCCGTACTCACGTGTGTGTGCTTGCTGGTTGTGTTAGTACCGAACCGTTCGTACGGACAAGGGTCGGTGGTACACGCACGGACAAGGGTCGGTGGTACACGCACGTAACCGCGTTGATTGTGGGTGCTAGGGCCCAATTATCTCCCTTCGACAAAAAGCCGAGAGACCGCATTGAACAAGGCTAAGTATAGCTCTACTGAGAGGAGCGCTGGAGCTTCGGTACCCTCCGTACTATAGCGCTCCACCGATACTTTGATGACTGCGGCACGGTATGCATTTTGTGCATACCCTCGCGAGAACAAAAGGCCCCCAAAAAACTGGTAATAAGAGAATACAAATAAGAATGACAGTTGCCCTGGATAGATCTGCACATTCATGACATTCCATAAGACCCCTTAAATTGTTCCAAACAGAGCTAGTCCTAGTATTATGTGCACTGATGTGGTAGACGTCTTACTAAGCCGGATTGGTCCGAAGTCCCATTGGTCCGACCATGGAGCAAGGAAAACGGTCCGACGTTCCATTGGTCCGACGCCCCTAAGGATTAGTACGGGTTAGGGTCCGACGCCCCATAGGATTAGTACGTTATACTGCTTAACATATTCCAACGAATTCTTCTACCTTATTGCAGGTCATGTGGAAAGACCGATCTTTTCCTGTCTCAGAGATAGCTTGGGATATTCCAAGATGAATGCTACCATTGTGGAGCCAGAGGCAAGCAGCATACAGCGCTTCCAGGATCTAGTTGCTAAAGAGCCTCTGCAGGGTGTGAATTTTGACTGGAGATGTCAGACTTTCCAGAAATACGACAAATCCGAAGAGGCGATGGGCGACAAGTTTCACATCATAGCTTGCATGGGCTCTCTGTACTACTTGGGAGACTTGAACGAGGTTTTGAAAAACATGTACAGCAGGCTTGAAGATGGCGGCATTCTACTACTTGGGGTGGCACAAGGTTGGCCTAAAATAATAATTTACTCGCATAAGTTCACATACGGTGCAAGCACGTGTGCACGAGCGCCCACCTGTACCTTCGGTTCATCCGGTTCGTTTGTAAAAACGTCATACACGCGCGCGCACCACTGTTTACTCCCGCCCATCGGATAAACGCTCGAGGTGCGTTAACTTCCGGTGTAGCGTGAATATCCGACTCCATGAAATGTGGACTCATTGGTAGTACTGCGCACGCGTGAGTACGATACTATGCTATTTTTAGGATCGTTTCGGGAGAGTGCCCTGTCACGTGCGAGGGATCAACCAATAACAGGGAAATAGGGGTCCGATTTTCATAGGAGTCGGATTTTCATGTGACACCGTCTGAAGTACGTACGCATGGTTGGATTGAGATGACGTCATACTAACGAACCAGATAGATAGAGATGTGTTCGTGTGACACAAGCTGCTTCGTGTGTTTCCACAAATTCTTGTTTCTTGGAAGGGCAAAATTATTCGTCGTTACGTCAATATCGTATATATACTACTAGCTAGCACAAGAAGCTACAGCTGAATAGGACCTTTAGTTCTGTAGACAGGCTTCACTGAGAAAACCTATGGCCTTTTGTGGAAAAGAGTAACGGGTTGTTTGAAACACAGCACGTGATACAGCAAAAATAAGTACAAATTGAGATATTGATTCAATAATAAAAAATAAATAAAAATACACACATACAAATCTTTCCTGAGGGCGCGTTTTTAGAAGAATTAATTTTTGTGTGTAGGAAAACTTCTTGAGTGCGCTTTAAAAACTACAAGATATTTTTCGAGAAGGAAATAACTTTTTGAGGCCGAATTGGTGCACTCAAGTAAAAAACAATTACTGCCTCCGATTAATAGGCCTACATGCCTTAAACGTGCCTTACCGAACATTCGTCCGACAGAAGTCTGACATTTCGGACTTACGAGGCATAATACACTTTATTTATTCTGCCTCATAGGTCCGACGCCTCATAGGTCCGCCGCCCCATAGGTCCGACGCCTCATAGTCCGACGTCGGATAAAACGAGGCGTGGACCTAGTACGAGGCGTCGGAGCTATGGACCGTAACCTGAACAGGTTCATTGTCCGACAAGGCAAGAACGAGATTTTAGTGTACCTCCGACGCAGCTAATATAACAAGAACTGAGCCAGGACTGAGCATGCTTGGGCGCGGCGCGTGCCTTTTGACGCTGAAGTTTTCTTCTGTTCTCTTAGTAGTTTTCATCATTGAGGGGGCACTCCGATGTCTCAACATTTTGGTGAAATTAATGTTGCTTTTTGATTTAATTCAGGTGGAATTGGTTTTGGAAAGCTAGTGCAGTATCTTCAAACAAAACTGGACAACAGCGCCTGCACAGAACGCTACTCCTCCTGGGAAGTCCAAGACGCATGCAAGAACCTCAACATGGCCGTCTCACAGACGTACATCATCGAGGCGTACCTAGATATCTCGATGTGTCTAGACAAACCCCCTGACCAGCTCTCACAAGACGCGCTAGCTATGCTTGATTATATCACGTATAGAGAGGATTTCGTTCGGCGAGCACCGCCAGATTTGCGGGGCGAGGTGCTGAGGTTCTTAGGCAGCGAGTGCACGGAGAGGGGTCCGGCTGGGGAGTTCTTACTCGAAGAGAGCACCGCCTTACTTGTCATACGTCGCGAGGGATACATTTTGCACTGTTTTGTTTTTAAAGTTTTTTTGGAAGGGGTAGCTTCTCTGGTGTAAAGGAATCTGATTTTGTGTTTATCCTAAAACGTACCTACCGAATTATCAAAAAGTTTTTAGAGGAATTTAGAAAATTTAGAGGAATGTTAATGAAAATTGTCCAAATTGAAAATAACTGCAACGGCGCCCTCATACGTCAGGAGCCAATGTATTTTAACATTGTGATGATTATAAATTTTGCACTGTTTTGTTTTTAAAGTTTTTTTTGGAAGGGGTAGCTTCTCTGGTGTAAAGGAATCTGATTTCGTGTTTATCCTAAACGTACCTACCGAATTATCAAAAAGTTTTTAGAGGAATTTAGAAAATTTAGAGGAATGTTAATGAAAATTGTTCAAATTGAAAATAACTGCAACGGCGCCCTCATACGTCAGGAGCCAATGTATTTTAACATTGTGATGATAATGTTTAATACCAACCTCGTCCCCAGGGTGTCGAGCAGTACGCGCCCACCACGACCTGCTCTCTCTCTCTCTCTCTCACAACCTCGTCCCCAGGGTGTTGAGCAGTACGCGCCCACCACTACCTGCTAGGTTGGAAAAAGTAAGCACTGGGGACGAGGTTGGTTTTCAACAACAACATGAACTGTGTAGTGACATTTCTTAGTGTTAAGTCATATGCTAGAATATCAGAATCTAATTGGCCAGCACTGTTAGTGGGCGTGGCTTAAGTCATCTACTGAGCAATACTGCATTTTGATTGGTTAATGCATCTCTGTACTTTAGCAATGATATATAGGGATCATGTTGGCCTATATACATGTACATATACATTGTAACTATCTGCAAGAACAGACAATATCAATGTACTTCTCTAACCGCAAATAAAAACAAACCACGAACATCAGTCGTTATCAGACTCAATTTTTTTTATTCAATGCATTTGATGCCTCATTCCATGGTGTACACGGGGTCTACCCGATGTTCCCCAATACTTTATTCCAGTTTAGAGATGTTTTTTTCTCGTTGAAAAGCGTAATAATGCAGGAAATTCTGTAAAACTTTATATCTGTGTTGTAAATTTACAATTCCCGTCACTTGCTCAGGCTTAGCCTTGTTCAAGGCGCTAGTTGTTGGCCGTAACGCGGTAAACGATATGCACACGGCACCAATGCACAAAAACTATGGTTCCTGTCACGTCCGCAAAAGGCGAATAGCTGCAAATAATTTGATGACGTCCGGATTTACCAAGGTGTGATTGGACACTCCACATATTAGCCCCGCCTACACTTATCTGTATTCGCATATACGAGGTCGTGCGCTAGAAATCCAGCGCAAAATATAGAAAAACATAAGCTTTTGCCGACGATTGAACCAAGGCGCCAGATTGGGTCCAACTGATTTGCATAGAAATGGTGGCCGCGTGAGGTCGCTGTTCGCGCTGTATTTTTAATGCACCGCATGCATAGCGCGCGAGGACATCGTTTACCGCGCTACGGCCGGGATGAATAACAACTAGCGCCTTGACCAAGGCTAGCTCAGGCTCCCTTTCGAATCACGAACGGTCGGATTGCATCATGCGACGCTCAAAAGAAATCACATCCGGTATGGAATGTGCTCATTTCTATGGGAAGTTTTCGGTGCGCACATTGTCTAACTGCGGTCTTGAACAGCTGCAGCCAGATCGGATTTATACATAGGTCATAGGCCATTTCCTTCACAAGATTCTGTGAAGCTCATCAGAGTATGTCTAGGCGCTCTGAGCAAACTTTCGTTAATATGCGGAAAGTGTGTCGGTTAAACTGACTCCCTCGCATTGCATCACAAAATATAGATTTTCCTCTTTCACATGAATATAATTTCTTCATGATTAAAGGCGAATAATTATGGGCACTTTTCCATTGAAAAATGCTCAACTCAGTGAAAATTTCGCGTTTCCTATGGAGGTCACGGCACATTAATTTTCCCCGATTTTTGAGGGTGCGGGTTTACTTCTTCGAACGGCATACGTGTGAACCGTACCGGGTCGCATACAATGCAGGGCTTTGATTTTCTGCACATAATGGGTGACAAAGTTCTCCATATGTAGGGGAAAGGGACAGAGGAGTTGGATTTTCATTTCGCTCGTACCCGTACCCCCGCCCCGCAAACAAAGTTTGCTCGCCATACAGAAGGGCAACCTCCGTCACCTTATGACATCTGAGAAATTGAAATGGCGCTGTCGACACACAAATATCATGAAGCCCACAGTGTGTACAGGAGATTGACCAACAGAGAGAAAACTTTAATCGAATGGTTCCATGGAAATACACAAAGTTTGTTGGACAACGCCTTTGCAGTGTCGATGTCACAGGATACAGACGTAAAAGTGCTAAGTGTTGGAGCGGGGGACGGTGCGTATAACAGTGTGTATTACATGTACAAAAAAATTGGGCGTGGGGGCGACAGACCCCCCATGAAACCTTGTCGCCCCCAGTCCCCCCCCCCCCCCCCCCCCCCCACTGAGATTTTGAGTTTCTAAAAAAATTATCATTGATCTACATGACGCCCCCCATGAAATGTTCCAGCCCCCCCCCCACCCAGCGCCCCCCCCCCCCCCCTGAAAAATTCCTGGCTACGCCACTGGCCCCGGTTTACCATGCACACCATGGCTCGAACTGTAGTGTGATCCGGTACACTCGCTGGCCCCGTCCAGCTGTTGCTTCACCGTCACTGTAGCGGTCCGCTCCCGCTTCAGTCTGGCCGTCTCTGCGAAGCGAAAGCTCGTACCGTGCCCACTCGGTTCAGCTAGAATCTTTGGCATACTTGGTTCCCCCAGTTAGTGTTGTGAGACTCCGACACCGGTGTTGAAACCAAGGAAAAGCCTGACGTTGGAGGAATCCCCACAAAGTTGAATAAACCAGTAAAGTCACTGTGTGAAAGCTCTGATTCCCGCCAAATTCGTTATCATAGATAATAATGTTGATTCTAATATAAAGTTAATGAACTAATAGGGAATGCAACAATACTTTCAGGAATGAATTGCAGGGCAGTTCCGTCGCACAGCCTTTAACGTGTCACCACTTGAAACTTAGAACTGATACGACACATGGATTACAAGATACGAGAACTGTTCGATTGCCTCATTGATGTTCTCCGAAGTCACCGTGTTAAAATTAGAAAAAGTTTTAACTATGGAAGGTTGTGAATCTTTTCTTTCAAAACTGAGGGAGGAATTATTGCAGTCATATTTATTTTATCGTCAATGTAAAATTGTGTCTTATTTCATTTTGTTCCCGGGTATTTTCTTGTTGTTTCTTTAGTGAGTGTATTTAATGTGAGTGTAGACCTATGTATGTCAACTAGGTTGTTTGTTTGTTTGCATTTTTCTCTCTGGGGAATGGGATTGCTTTTGTTTCTCGGTTTTGTTTTGTTCTGTTTGTAATAATCTTTTTAGCCCGTTTGTCATTCATTCCCGTTGTTGAGTCTGGTTGTTTGTTTTGTTTGTTTGTTTGTTTGTTGGGTTGTAAGAGTATTTATTTATTAGTTCGTTTTTATATTTTTGTATCTGTCTGGTTTGTCTAATTTTTCACTCTATGATTTTTTTGCTGAGTCTTGTCTCATCTCCACGTCTTGTCTCGTCTCGTCATGTCTCGTCATGTCTCGTCTCGTGTGGTTTCATAAGATTTGTACAATTTACTTTTCAATAGTACTTTAATTTTTATGAATGGAATTTTAAATCTGTTTTATTGGCAGGGGTTTGGATAATCGTCTGATGACAATTGTTTTTTTTACTTTTACATATCCGTGGCAGCCTGTCCAACTTTTAGCTTTTATTTTATGTTTTAAGATTTAAAATAAAATAATTGAATCAAATAAATCAAATAAAGTTTCTTCAAGTCTTTATTACGTTGGAGATTTCCCGATCGCAGTACATATGAGAGGCAGCTCACATAGGCGCGACCTAATCCGGCCAAATTACGATTTGTATACTAGTTTATCTGTGATAATAACGAATTTCGGCCCCTGCACTTGATGGTCTGTATTTGTAGAAGTGAAGGGTCCATGTCCCTGAACTGGATTTCTGAAGAAAACATTTGAATGGAATCTATATTGATAGGGAGTGGAAGGAATCTGTTTGTTTGTTTGTTTGTTTGTTTGTTTTTCAAAATGGCGATGGGGTGATCATCGTTGGAGGGAAAAATCACCCAAAAAGTCATAGGTCAACCCCCCCCCCAAAAAAAAAAGATTTCCAAAAAGGTAAAGAGGATTAATTCAGTTTTCATTTGATGTATGTTTTGATCACCTGTGAGGGTTCAGAGTATGTTCCCAGATTTGTTTAAACTGGGGTATTTATCTTTGGTGCCTATATGGGAATTTATGTATTGGTGTGCAACCTTAAACGAAGTGCTGTAAATTCAGGGATCGCATCAACAACTGCTTTCACACAGTCATGTTTGTGTACCATACTTTGCCACACATAATCTTTTCATCTGGAAGGCTCCTGTCACAGGAATGTCCCATTAAATTGTTTAGAAATTATGTTGAAAATAACATCTTCATGGATTCCCAGCACAACTCCTCACAATAAGCCCAGTGTTAACAATATTTCTCGTTGTGGGTCTGAAAATGAAAATTGTCGGTTTGTGTATTATGAATATGATCAAGTGAAATTATTCATGCAGTATTTTGCCCATTTCCCTCGAAATTGCATATTGTATTATTGTACATTTTTATCAATTTGCTAGAATATGTGATACATCACCAACAAGTATCTTTTAACGAAATTCAATCCGAATATTTATCAATTTAAAAAAAAATTGTGTGTTTTGTTACTTGTTGGTGTCCCTGCCACACTGTACGATGGTGTAGCCGTGCGTTATGCATGTGGACTTTACTGAATAGAGTCTGGTGACTGTACATAGAAATTTCTTTGAATAAAAGTCGAATCGTTCATCCATGTGCACTTGTTTTGCAAAGCAGGGGCAGTGGTTCAAGGATATCTACATGTATGTTGACTTGCAGAACGTGTGCAAGAACGCGACTTGAATGCTTTTATGTGTTCACAATACAACGACGCTGTTTAGTTATTTCACTGTGTGACACAGTGAGAAATTTTGGAATCATAATGGCGTCAGCGATAATTGCTGGGGAGCTCTTGCGTACGACTTTCTGTACTTTGGTACTGTTGTCTCCAGGACAATTGTGTGTACGGTAACCCGACGTACCCAGATTTTTAAAGACGAAATTGCCGACCACAAACTTGTTAGTGCCATATTTGGCAACTATATGTGCGTTATTAGTTTAATTAAACATATGAACAGGTTAATTAAACATAACAGCATAGAAGACCGACAGACGAACATAAAATGTTACAAAATAAACATATTTGTCTGGATAATTTTTTAGGGCGTTACCGGCAAGTTAACACAAACTTGGTGTTAAATAGACCATGGGAGTTACTTTTCTTTGACTTTTCATACAAGTTTACATAAACTTTAACTGTATGGCCTGCAGTGGCGTAGCCACCGGGGGGGGGGGGGGGGGGGCGTGGGGCGACAGCACATAATACCGCGCCGTGGATGTTGCTACGGGTATACATGTAGTACTTTTGGCCGTGCACAGAGAGATAGCAAAAATAGAAAGTATCATGTGACTCGCTCTCGACCAATCAAGACGATGCCGAGTACGCTGTGTCATTTTGCAATCACTCTATGCCACTCATTTGAAGTACTTGGCACAATTTGCTCACTCGGTATCTGAAACTACAATACTTGTTACTGGTAGAGCTGACCCAACCTTCAAGTCGGGAAGAAATCGTTCGAAAACTTCCCCAAATATGTATTATCGCAATTTCTAGGAATTGTTATTTCATGAGTAGTTGGACACTTATATCATCTTTATGTCGAATTTCAGCTTAAAGGGGCAATAGGTCCTGAGATCCCCGAAAATGTTATGTTTTGGATTGTTTACTTAGCCTATATCAAACATCTGGTTGAAAGGAAACCAACCTAATGTCTTACCGATCCCCGGCGAGAAAAGACGAAAAAAAACCCGGGTGTTTACATCGGACATGACGGAGAAAGAATACGTTCTTCGTGTCGCTGACCTTTACTTCCGGGTCTACCGGAAGGTCAAAGTTAGGTTAACTTGAAATACAGACTGAAGCCCCAAATTCAAAACGAACCGAATTTCTTCCACGCGATTTCGTTAAAACCTGGTACGAACTTGAACCCCCGTCTGAAGATGTTTTTAAAAATCTGACGTCATCATGACGTCATCAGGTTTCAAATTACAAGAAATTTAAGGGCCAAATTTGTGAAAATATTTTTAGCTATATCTTTAGAACTAAATAGAGTATTGTACGTGTTCGTTTTGGCGTGAGGTTGTAAATGATGCCTCGGGCAACCATTCTTATGCCTGGGTACAAAACCGCTTGACCTTCACAATAAAAATTGAATATATCCCGAAAGCGGAAGCTCTTTACTATAAGCAAATAAATTATGGAAGTGTTTAGAACGGAATAAGGACATACAAAAAAACAGCATTATGATGTCATCATTTAAAAGGGCGCCTTCAAGCGGTACATCAAATAGGGTTTCCTTTTTTTAATTTAAAACCATCCGTCCAAATTTAACCAAATTGCCCCTTCTTATTTTTTTGTGAACTACATATAACTTTGCAAGGTTTCAAAATTATGACGTCATCAGACTGGAAGTTACTGTAGCGAGAATTTGAAAATGATCATTTGTTTGTTTTTAAAATTGTATCATTTGATCCGTTTTATGACTTTGTTCGTAGCCATATCCGTTACAACGTTGACCTTTCGATCTTTAATGCTGTGACATCATCAAACCGGAAGTTAGGTGTATTTAATACATACACTTATATTTTCCATATTTTCATATGTTATTTTAACTTCATAATGAATATGCACATGTCCTCTCCGAACTAAATCAGTATTGGTGACATCATCAATTTCAAACCAGAAATAAGAACTGTACGTGTACATAAAATGTATACTGAAATATGACACATTTTGTTTTAACAAAATCATTGGTTGTACTGGAAAGGTTACATTTTTGTGATCCTTTGTTGAGTTTGTTCTTACATAAAAAATAACTAAATTGGGCTGTTCATGTCAGAACAAAGTTTGTTCTGACATGCAATTATTCATAACTAAACTGGGCTGTGTCTAATGAAATATAGTTGTCGGCCCGACAGGGAGGTTTTGTTGGAAATAAATAAATAAAATAAATAAATATACTCTGCGTTTGGAACTCAACAAACGCCTTGACCTTTGTTTGCATTTTTTTTTTATACACACTGTACACACTATTTCGTAAAAGTTCAGGGTCCGCGTGTATATACTCATTATATAGCATACTTCACAATTTTGGATGAAAAAATTTTATGTAAAAATTCGAATGTAAAATTCACGTAAAATCCGAATGTAAAGACAGATTTTAAAGTACACATGCCGTCATGTGTACTTTAAAATCTGTTGTTTTTTTAGTCCTAGTATAGCTCTACTGAGTGGAGCGTTGGAGCTTCGGTACCCTCCGTACTATAGCGCTCCACCGATAGGCATACTTTGATGACTGCTGCACGGTATGCATTTTGTGCATACCCTCGCGAGAACAAAAGGCCCCCCAAAAACTGGTAATAAGAGAATACAAATAAGAATGACAGTTGCCCTGGATAGATCTACACATTCATGACATTCCATAAGACCCCTTAAATTGTTCCAAACAGAGCTAGTCCTAGTATTAGGTGCACTGATGTGGTAGACATCTCAAAGCCGGATTGGTCCGAAGTCCCATTGGTCCGACGCCCCATAGGATTAGTACGGGTTAGGGTCCGACGCCCCATAGGATTAGTACGTTATACTGCTTAACATATTCCAACGAATTCTTCTACCTTACTGCAGGTCATGTGGAAAGACCGATCTTTTCCTGTCTCAGAGATAGCTTGGGATATTCCAAGATGAATGCTACCATTGTGGAGCCAGAGGCAAGCAGCATACAGCGCTTCCAGGATCTAGTTGCTAAAGAGCCTCTGCATGGTGTGAATTTTGACTGGAGATGTCAGACTTTCCAGAAATACGACAAATCCGAAGAGGCGATGGGCGACAAGTTTCACATCATAGCTTGCATGGGCTCTCTGTACTACTTGGGAGACTTGAACGAGGTTTTGAAAAACCTGTACAGCAGGCTTGAAGATGGCGGCATTCTACTACTTGGGGTGGCACAAGGTTGGCCTAAAATAATAATTTACTCGCATAAGTTCACATACGGTGCAAGCACGTGTGCACGAGCGCCCACCTGTACCTTCGGTTCATCCGGTTCGTTTGTAAAAACGTCATACACGCGCGCGCACCACTGTTTACTCCCGCCCATCGGATAAACGCTCGAGGTGCGTTAACTTCCGGTGTAGCGTGAATATCCGACTCCATGAAATGTGGACTCATTGGTAGTACTGCGCACGCGTGAGTACGATACTATGCTATTTTTAGGATCGTTTCGGGAGAGTGCCCTGTCACGTGCGAGGGATCAACCAATAACAGGGAAATAGGGGTCCGATTTTCATAGGAGTCGGATTTTCATGTGACACCGTCTGAAGTACGTACGCATGGTTGGATTGAGATGACGTCATACTAACGAACCAGATAGATAGAGATGTGTTCGTGTGACACAAGCTGCTTCGTGTGTTTCCACAAATTCTTGTTTCTTGGAAGGGCAAAATTATTCGTCGTTACGTCAATATCGTATATATACTACTAGCTAGCACAAGAAGCTACAGCTGAATAGGACCTTTAGTTCTGTAGACAGGCTTCACTGAGAAAACCTATGGCCTTTTGTGGAAAAGAGTAACGGGTTGTTTGAAACACAGCACGTGATACAGCAAAAATAAGAACAAATTGAGATATTGATTCAATAATATTAAAAAAAAAAAAAAAAATTACACACACAAATCTTTCCTGAGGGCGCGTTTTTAGAAGAATTAATTTTTTGTGTGTAGGAAAACCTTGAGTGCGCTTTAAAAACTACAATATATTTTTCGAGAAGGAAATAACTTTTTGAGGCCGAATTGGTGCACTCAAGTAAAAAACAATTACTGCCTCCGATTAATAGGCCTACATGCCTTAAACGTGCCTTACCGAACATTCGTCCGACAGAAGTCTGACATTTCGGACTTACGAGGCATAATACACTTTATTTATTCTGCCTCATAGGTCCGACGCCTCATAGGTCCGACGCCTCATAGGTCCGACGCCTCATAGGTCCGACGCCTCATAGGTCCGACGCCTCATAGGTCCGACGCCTCATAGGTCCGACGCCTCATAGGTCCGACGCCTCATAGGTCCGACGCCTCATAGGTCCGACGCCTCATAGGTCCGACGCCTCATAGGTCCGACGCCTCATAGGTCCGACGCCTCATAGTCCGACGTCGGATAAAACGAGGCGTGGACCTAGTACGAGGCGTCGGAGCTATGGACCGTAACCTGAACAGGTTCATTGTCCGACAAGGCAAGAACGAGATTTTAGTGTACCTCCGACGCAGCTAATATAACAAGAACTGAGCCAGGACTGAGCATGCTTGGGCGCGGCGCGTGCCTTTTGACGCTGAAGTTTTCTTCTGTTCTCTTAGTAGTTTTCACCATTGAGGGGGCACTCCAATGTCTCAACATTTTGGTGAAATTAATGTTGCTTTTTGATTTAATTCAGGTGGAATTGGTTTTGGAAAGCTAGTGCAGTATCTTCAAACAAAACTGGACAACGGCGCCTGCGCAGAACGCTACTCCTCCTGGGAAGTCCAAGACGCATGCAAGAACCTCAACATGGCCGTCTCACAGACGTACATCATCGAGGCGTACCTAGATATCTCGATGTGTCTAGACAAACCCCCTGACCAGCTCTCACAAGACGCGCTAGCTATGCTTGATTTTATCACGTATAGAGAGGATTTCGTTCGGCGAGCACCGCCAGATTTGCTGGGCGAGGTGCTGAGGTTCTTAGGCAGCGAGTGCACGGAGAGGGGTCCGGCTGGGGAGTTCTTACTCGACGAGAGCACCGCCTTACTTGTCATACGTCGCGAGGGATAAATTTTGCACTGTTTTGTTTTTAAAGTTTTGTTGGAAGGGGTAGCTTCTCTGGTGTAAAGGAATCTGATTTTGTGTTTATCCTAAAACGTACCTACCGAATTATCAAAAAGTTTTTAGATGAATTTAGAAAATTTAGAGGAATGTTAATGAAAATTGTCCAAATTGAAAATAACTGCAACGGCGCCCTCATACGTCAGGAGCCAATGTATTTTAACATTGTGATGATTATAAATTTTGCACTGTTTTGTTTTTAAAGTTTTTTTGGAAGGGGTAGCTTCTCTGGTGTAAAGGAATCTGATTTTGTGTTTATCCTAAACGTACCTACCGAATTATCAAAAAGTTTTTAGATGAATTTAGAAAATTTAGAGGAATGTTAATGAAAATTGTCCAAATTGAAAATAACTGCAACGGCGCCCTCATACGTCAGGAGCCAATGTATTTTAACATTGTGATGATTATGTTTTATACCAACCTCGTCCCCAGGGTGTTGAGCAGTACGCGCCCACCACTACCTGCTAGGTTGGAAAAAGTAAGCACTGGGGACGAGGTTGGTTTTAAACAACAACATTAACTGTGTAGTGACATTTCTTAGTGCTAAGTCATATGCTAGAATATCATAATCTAATTGGCCAGCACTGTTAGTGGGCGTGGCTTAAGTCATCTACTGAGCAATACTGCATTTTAATTGGTTAATGCATCTCTGTACTTTAGCAATGATGTATAGGGATCATGTTAGCCTATATACATATAACTATCTGCAAGAACAGACAATATCAATGTACTTCTCGAACCGCAAATAAAAACAAACCACGAACAGCAGTCGTTATCAGACTCATTTTTTTTTATTCAATGCATTTGATGCCTCATTCCATGGTGTACACGGGGTCTACCCGATGTTCCCCAATACCGATGTTTCCAGTGTACACATTACAGCCCAGAGAACCGTTTCAAATAAAACTGAACCCTTAAAAACTAAAGTTATGGCTCCATGATATTCCAGGTACGTCATGAACAATAGGGATGTGGATTACGTGTATATTTTTCAAAAGCAAAAATTTCACCCAATGCAAAGTGTTGTTCTTCAATTCCAACCCTGACTAAACCCACTAACGTAACTGGGGCGCTAGAACTCCTTTTTTGACATTTGGGATTTTGTCTGCATATTGACTCCTTTTTTGACATTTGGGATTTTGGTCTGCACGACAGACCAAAATCCCAAATGTCAAAAAAGGAGTTCTAGCGCACCAGTTAGTGGGCCTATCCCCCTGACATACTTGGCATTACTGCTGTCTCAAAATGTAAACTAGTATCTGAGAGATTGAAGTTATCTTAAAAAGTTAATTTTTTTCCGTCTTTTTGGCGTCACCTCATAACGGTAGCATTTTTAGACAGTTCTTTAATCCAAAGCAAAAACATCATGCTTTAACAATGTAGCTTAACTTATGCCAGTATGTATGCTATTGGCAGAAAACATACTTCTTTTCCAAAATGTTTTACACTTTATGAATTTCATTTTAGTCTCGTAGAACAAAACAGGTGGCCAATTTTGAGATATTTTGTGGGAAATATGTCACATACCCAATTATCTTGACAAAATAAATCGATAATCAGTAAACATGGAACAAGATCTCAAGTCGGGTTTCTTGAAATTTCAATTCATTTGGTGGTTCCCAGAACAAAATGTGCTTCTAAAATACAAGTCTGACTAAAACGGCTTTCAACAATACGTCGAAAAGATATCTATACCAATTATGCTTAAATGTTTTAATTTTGTTCTATGTGGCATATTAACAAACGGCACAGAACTGAAAACAGACAAGTTGGTGTTTTCCCCTTAAAAAAAACAAAAACCCCAAAATACAAATCTTGGTACAGTTTATTTTAAACACTAACAGGAAAAATGGAGTCATCCAAAAGATTCAAGGCTTTTACTTCAGAAAAATATCTCACTATTTGTGCCTTGGTAAAGAGGTTGTAATGCACACAAACAAAAGTCAACCCTTTTTGGTATAACTGTTGCTAACCATACTAATGCGGTGAAATATTCAACTATGCGTAGTCTATTTACTTGTTAGGTTACACATACATTGTATTTGGACCTGATAATCTGCGACTGTTTGTTTAAATGGTATAAGCGGCATTTATACATATACCATTCACCAAAACCCTATTTGATACATACTAGGCGCAAAGCCGTGAAACCATTACAAAATCTACCCACAGTTTTTGCTTGAATATCATATCGAGTTTAACAGTGAGGGTATTCAGTAAACTCTACTAAACTATCTTCTTACCTGTGAAATAGCACACATAGTGTTAAAAAAAAGACAATTTCAGAGACTGGATAAATGATATCTCAAAGGAAAATAAAAAAAAAAAACCCTTCCTACTAGCACAGTTGCAAATTTAATCATTATAGTGCAAAAGAAACAAAACCAAATGCCAGAAAAACACCAAAACAAAACAAGTCGTCTACATTTTCATGACTGTTGCATACTGTGAAATTCAAATATACAAATCCAGACAGCCAATCAACTTCACAGGCCTGCTAGAACAGGGCACACGATTGGTCAAGTATGGCTGGATTGAAAAGACAAACTATCTGATTGATTGGCCAATTGCTGTATGTTTAATTATTTGTTACTAAACCTTTCTCTTTTTTGTCAAATTATTTTCCCCAGTGATTTTGAGTGCACTTTTGCATGAATTTTCCAAATAAGAATGAGATATGCCAACTTAAAACACTATCTACTTCAAATAACTACCGAGACAAAATGGTACAACTTGTAAAGAGCTGCATAAATAAATGTTTAAAAAATGAACTTGTAACATGAGGGAAAACCTAAGATAACAAAACATTCGCTGAAAGTAAATGAAGATTTTCAAAAGACAAAGGAAAGAAATAGTGACTACATGTAATATAATGGCAATATAAGAATAACAATATTCCAGTCTTTAAAATTGTTTTGTGTTTCACTAAAAGCAAAACTGTATTATAGCACTAAAAAAAGTTATTCTTGTTCATCAAATCTTGTAAAACTCAGTGGCATCAACTACTCCCAGATACCCATGACAACAGCAAAACTTTTAAAATATAACGAATAACAGAAAAGCAACAACAAAAAACAGACAGGGCATCAAAAAAAAGTAAACATGCCCTTGCCATTTGTGGAGGGCACGATATAATAGCACACTGTACAATGGTTTTCTACACCATTAGATAAAACACCAACATCTAACAATACTCAGGCCATTGGATTACCAGGGGGTAAACCATTGCACTCAATTAAACTGTTTTTTGTTTTTTTCTTAATCTATACAGGCTACAATAGACACGTTTCAATAAATTCAATATATTGAACAATAAATATAAATGTATCGTTAAACAAGGGTCTCATGTTCTTGTGTCCATTATTAAAAACGTTTTTATTTAATACTGTGCCATTTTCAGACTTGCGGCAAAAGACACCAAAAAAAAAGGAGTTTAACGACTGTACAGTGTTCAAATGGACATGTTTACAGAAATAAATAAATAGTTTATATGCAATAATACATGTAAACTGGAAGAAATGCAACAGCACAATATTTAATGAGAGTGCTGCTGTCAGTTCTATACAAGTGTTTAATATTTACGGGCAAGCGTCTTAGCCTAGAATATAAAGGATGCACACTTTCAATGTGTTAAATAACAATATTTACTTAAAAAAGAAGAAACAAAATCAAAACAAATGATAGCTATCATACTCTCTGCTGTGATGTCCGTGGCAGTATATCTGTTTGTATAGGAACTGTTCGACCAAAGGTGAAAATTAAAAATCGCAGCCCGATTAAAAACATCTTTTACTCAAAACAGCAAAGAACTGTTGTTTGTTGCTCTTTACTAGAAGTGAGACTTTCCTCGACTCTGAAAAAAAAAACCACCGTAACGAGCCAATCAAAAGTGCTGTTCTATCCTTGTTAAACGGCTGCTGATTTCTGATTGGTTGAAGATTACCAAAAGAGATTAAATGCCCATCCAATCGTGTGGTAGCACGAGGCACTGAATATTCATACAGAATCTGATTGGCTAAACTTGAGCAATTTCCTTCGGATGTGTACTGGGTTCATAGCACACTTTAAAAAAAAAACTGTTCCCCTTTTTAATACATCAACCCTGAAATTATAGCACCACATTTAGCACGTAACAATGTGTCTGAATAAATAAAGGTCTATCATAAGGAATAAAATACTACATGCAAGACTTTTTGAAGACAGGAAAAAAAGTTCAAACGTGGCCAGGAATGTGGTACAAATTCCTGCACTGTTTGCAAATAAAATGACAGAAAAAATACTGATTAAAAACTAGCAGTTAGCAAAATATTGCCACTAAAACTCGAAAGTTACCTAATCTTCTGGAGCACTACTTGCTTTTTTAAGGTTTTATGTACAAAAACGAGACAAGCCGTAAAAAGCCTGTGTCCACTTGCGTGCATGGAAGAATACCACACTGTGCATGTTGTTCAAGTATAACATTGTTCAAAAACACCTGTTTTTTGTGTCTATCCCAAAAATATTTCATTTTCTTCATAAGCTGGTTACATGGAGAATATCTCGGCTTAAGAATGCCCATTGACGGCATTGAATCTGCTTAAGACACTTTTTTTGTTTACAATTGAGGCATTTTGCACTTTTTATTGACAGTGAAGCTTTTTTTTCTGAATGGTAAAGGAAAATTAAATTGATACATGTATTTATTTTGGAGTGAGCAACACTGTAAACATTTGTGTTGGTCACTTTCCATAAATTTCGCAATGAACAAACCAAATTAAAGGATTTTGATTTAATTTTTTTTTATCTGTTTGGCCACAAGGATTGGATTATTGTGGGCCTCTCATCTTAAAACAAATGGATTTAATGCAACCAATAAGCAACTGTTGAGCAAGATATCCCACTTGGCAAATTCAGTTAGCAAAACCTTACAGGATACCAGCCAAAAGCAATACTGCCAACAAAGACTTCAACTGGTGACACATTTGTCTGGTTCCCCGAGGGCTTTATGAAAATACCATCAAATATGGTCACAAAGTTATAGGTATCAGCCTACATGTACATTAGGCATGAGACCAAAACAGCATTATGGTTGCAATACAGTTAAAAGTGCACGCTTATGAAATAGTCCTTTGGTATTTTTTTTTTTTTTTTTGATTTGAATTTACAAGAGAATACATGGCAAATACCTTGAAGTCAGTTCACCCTGTTAGTATATTTTGTTAGCTGCTTTTGTATGACGGTTGTAGAACAAAAAAATACAATTCTGCGTACTTTACCAGATTACCCTGTGGGAATAATGAGTTGTCTTCGTATTACATGTTAGTAAAGAACAACCTATATGATTCATCTCTGAATGAGTTCAAGTGAGCTGTCTTAAAAGACTTTGATTTGTTTTCGCATTCTTATATAACTTTCTTTACATTATTATTTGATTGTTTTTTTCGCAGTTTGTTTGAGTTGGCTTCAAAAACTAAAATCCTTTTTGTAAAATTTGGGGATCTCTACAAAGTTTCTTTGTAAAGTAGACATCTTCCCTGCACCTATTTACTGTCCATTCGGTAACTCTAACATCAAACATGGACTTTACAGAAAAACCTGTGCATCAATACAGTACACTATGACTTTTTTTTTGGACAAATCTACAATCTTACAGAAGATCCTTTTGAATGTTGGTCCTTTCATTGATCTTTGGGTGTCAACTTGACCCAAAATTTGAGATGTTACAATTACCAATTGAGTCCAGTCTGGCAGTTTCCTACTTGACCGAGCAAGCTTCTGTTACTCCTTCAACAGCTAACCAGTGAAACAGCTGGTACTCATGACATTCTCAAGCAGTAACACTATACATGGTCATGTCACCGGTGATGCATGGCTGGTACTCTGAAATTCCCCAGCAGAATTCTTATGAAGGGAGTCGGGGGCCCAGTCTGGCACAACTGGTTCCCAGACAACACTGGCCATCTCATCAAGCCAGCCGGTACCCTGAAGAGCTGGCGTCCAGCACAAATGCCTACCCATCCGATTGTCACAGCGGTTTTCTTGACCAAGGTGCAGCACGCGTTTTAAAAGTGTCAGATTCTTACTTTACAGGCAGTTTAAACGTTCTTAACATAATAAGAAGAGTTGTTCTGTATAATTTAATTGGCAGCACAGTTCTTGGTGTTTGTTTGTTTGTTTAGTATGGCGTGTAGCGGGCGTAGCCTCCTCTGTAAATACCTGTCTGCTGAAATAAGAGAAACAAAACAAGACATCAAATTAAAACCAAATTTTGTGCACGATCCTTTTTGCTATTTTCGAGGTGTTTAAGCTCACTCAAGCTTGATCTTGCTGAACAATCCAGAATATTACACTTTATCAGAGGCTTAGGGCGCATCTTAATATTTTGTCTAGAGCTATTGTCTACCGGTACGTCGTTGACCATTACCAATATGTGGGAACATCCTGACAATACACAAATCCAGGCAAGTGACCACTGTACACAGATGAGGCCCCCTTCAATGGAGAAACTGCCTGTGACAATACCTAGCACAATGCTTTCACCATTGAAGGGGGCCTCAGCAATAGGACTGATAGCGTGCCCAGATTGGTCAACAGATGTAGCCATAGCTCTGGACATGGGCGTCGCGAGGGGGGGGGGGCCAAGGGGGGCGCTTGCCCCCCCCCCCCCGGAAAAAAAAAAAAAAAAGGCGCGAAGTCATAGTGGTGTAAATTTAATGAATTGTTGGGGGGGGGGGGGAATGTCCCTGCCCCTCTCTAAAACTGAAAAATCGAGAATATGTTTAGAAATACAGGAATTTTTTTGGAAAAATATGATTTTGCCCCGCTCTAGAAAAAAATCCTAGCGACACCCATGGCTCTGGAAGCCCGTTTCGGACTCAGTCTAATATATTTGTTTTTATAGAAATAGCTTCATGTCTTGTCACCGACAACAAACATGCTCGCTGAAACATACTGTTATCTGAAATCTTGATATGAGTAATGACTACAAATCTAATGTGCAGTGAGAATCAACAATTAATAGAAAGACAAAAAGAACACCGACTTAAAATGAAATATCATGCACAAAATACAGACAACAAGTGTCGATATTTGAAAAGCGGATGAAAGTGTGCTAGCAATATCTTTCCTTTTACCACACGATTTTGATGTACTGGAAAAAAAAAGAAAAAAAGATGAAGATTATTTTAAAAGACTCATGGGTTGTTTTGTCTAGCATACCATGGTCATTCAGCTTATGGATGAAAAGAAAAATTGCATCAAATTTGTACGTTAAAACTTGTCCACTCGTTTGATTCCACCATGGTCTGTGCCATAAGGTGTACTACATTTTCAGCTGACACGAGGAAAATGCCTTATTTTGCCTACCACTTGTAGAACTTAATTTCCATCTTTATCTTGTTGGTAATTGTCCCCGTGCAAGAATTTTTCAATGATATAATTATTTTGTGATTGGGCAGTAGGAAAAAAGGAACTACTGAGAGTATAAAGCTGGATGAAATGACGGGAAGAAAAAAGGGTTTATTCCACGAGATTATTTTTTCCAACTTGGTGGTCTGTGGAATCTTAAAACCGGTGTGGAATTTGGTGGCAGAAATATATTTAAATTCACTCTGGGAAAAAAATATAAATTTATTAATGAAAATTACAAACTAAGCATTTGGAATTATATAAGATACTGATGTAAAGAAGCTATGTTTTTAATTTGTTACATCTAATTACCAAAATTATCAAAATTATCCCCAAAAAGCATTAAAAAATTAAGAAAGAGATTAAAAAACATGTTCAGTTATGTTGCTGAGTTTTTCATGTAAGAAAAGTTGACCGTCTACGGCCAAGTTTCTATTTTTTGTTTAAATCGGATGAAGTGAAGTGATATTTCTTTTTTCTCTTCTTATAAAATGACAGTCAGTTTCTGGAACACAATACATATGACAAGTTTTTGATCTGTAATACACTCAACCAAAAAAGAAAGTTCCCCCCCCTTCCAATAGTTTTTTGTCTAACTCAAAAACTACTGAGCACCTCTCGCTCAAATAACGACTAATCAGTACAGAAATTCCTTAGCAATCCAGCCATACTCTTTATTTGGCCCAAAACGGTGATAATGTGTACGAATTTATGCAATTCATGACAAATGATACCAAAAACAGTTGCACTTTGTATGGATACGTGCAAGTTGTGGTTCACACTCACCTTGCACGTATACAAAAGTTCAACTTTTTTTCGGTACCACTTGTTATAAATTGCATAATTTTGTACACATTATCACTGTTTTAGGCCAAACAAAGAGTATGGCTGGATTGCTAAGGAATTTCTGTACTGAACAGTCGTAATTTGAGCAAGATGTGCTCAGTAGTTTTTGAGTTAGACAAAAAAGCAATCAGGGGGGACTTTCTTTTTTGGTTGAGTGTATCATATACCTGTACTGATCTGTAATTGAGATGCAAGGGTCTTTTAAGTTTAAGTTTTAATATTACAATCCACAGCAAAGCCAACGTTTTTCATGCTAATATTATAGACAATACAACTTTCAAACTAACACAGAATCATTTTGAAATTCCAATAATTATATAAAAAAATTAATGCAAATCTATTTCTTAAAAACAATAAATGTGTTAAAATCAAGCAATGTTCAATAACTTGCGAGCATGCTGGAGCACTCAACAATGTACGGCACAATTATCTTGCACGGCATATTAACAAACAGACACCAGTAAGTACTTCACCAAGCAGGCATAGTCTAACACCAAATTGACAACCAAAAGATATGCAAAAATGATTTTTAGGGACCACATCAGTATGAAAGTGAATTGTGCCCAGTGGGGGAAGACAGATTTTTTTTCTTAAATTTAAAAAAAATGTGCCAAACACCCAAGAAACTGCAACTGACTCATTGTGAGTTTTATGCTTACTCTGTGCAGCACTGCACTGTGGGCCACCAACTATATTATTTTGTTTCCATGTGGCTGGCATTGCCGTTGCCTTAGAAAGCAAAGTTTGAAGCACGCCCTCTTGCAGGTATTGCCAAATTTGGTTTTGTCCCTCACCACTTATCCCGGCTAAGGGGAAAAACCCAATTTACAATTTTACAATTGGGATCTCCCCGAAGCAGAAGTTAATTGAAACTATCTTCAGAGGGCATGCTTGCAGAGGGAAAATCAGCTGGCCAGCGATGCAGATGTCCGAACAGTAAAAAAGCAGCGTTATTTATATGTCCTAAATTGCAATTCTCCCTGAAATGCTCAAGGAAGAAATGCCTCCAGTAACCAGAGAGTTTTGGACACAAGATTTACATGAATCGGCTGATGTGATCCTTCAATTGAAAACTTTACAAAACATACAAGTACCAAAATTGCAAAACGACAAATAACTGGAGGCTACCACATTACATGAAATTTTGATCAGTCTGACCAGCAACAACAAATTTTGTTTCAACCTACGAAGAACATATGTAAATGTAATACTTCGTTGGCTGCACCACGAAGTGATGGATCATCTATGGACTTTGTGCACACGATATTTCATTGCTTGGCGTGTGACTGACGAATTGTAGGAATTTTAGCAGTGGGGGACAACTGTTCACTAAAAATCAAAACCTCAAGAACTTTTTCTCTTGATTAGTTTTTTTTTTTTTAGAGTCTTGCCAAAACTTTACTTTTGGTGCTTCAGTATTTTCCTCACTTCCAGAGACTAAAGTTTAAATTGCTTAAGTCAATCTGGTTTGTTTGGTCACACTATGTTGCACAAATTTTTTTCTCAGAATTAACTTTCTCCGATACTTCAAACTGATATTTCTCTCTTTAGAAAGGATTCTTGGGTACATTTCAGAACAGTGGTGAAGTTTACTTTCAAGGAACCTTGGCCTACTGACAGAAGCAAAAGTTTCTGTTTTATAAAAGACCAAAGTCAGTACCCACTTGTTCTTATCCCCAATTGTGGGCAATAAACTGTTAGAGCGTATGGATACCATTTGTGTTTTGTTGTAGCTGGTCACACAACTAACAGAAGACCTTTCAGATGCTTGGCGTTGGCATAATTGTTGTTTACTTCTTTCAGCCCTGAACTTACTTGTACCCTGAGTACACTCAGAAGGACTGTGACAGTTAAAAGAACGGCCAAGAAAAACAGCTGCCACTTGCTCTTACAGGAATCTGAAAGGTCTTCGCATACACGACTTACAACATTCTAGCAGCAAAATACTCATTTTACAAAATTTACCAAAAATACACCACCAGTGAACAAAAATGAGAACCAACCACACCAAATAAGGAAGGAGAAAAAAGGGAACAAATTTCCACACAACCACCAAGAATGGATCGAATAATCCCACGGAATTTACCCTTGTCGTCAAGGAGGGGTATCTTACCCCATACGCCGTTGCCGTGGGGCCGATCGTCGGGTGGTACGGGTCAGCTGTGTACTCCCGGCCGTACGGGATGGCGTAGGCCGTGGGCGTGGCCGCGTATCGGCTGATGTAGCCTCCGTATCCAGCCGCCGCGCTCTGCAAGAGAAGGTCAGTCTATGAAGGAGAAATAGGACAGAGATGGACACACGTGGGGGGAAGTGGGGTGTGACCAACGGGGGAGCCAGATGGGTGAGGGTGGAAAACAAGATGGGGGTGGGTGTTGGGGGAGGGGTGAAAGAAAGGGAAAGAGGGGGAAGAACGGAGTTAGTATCAAAATGCACGGCAAACCAACTGAAAAATCTCGCATGCAAACATGTCAGGTTTTCTTACTTAACAATTCCATAGAACTGCTAAGCACAAAAGTTTTGCACATTTATCAGCTAAGCACAAAATTAGTCTAGAGTCAGTCACAAGCAATGAACAAAATTTTGGCCAGTATTCTGTTTTTGCTTTATAGCAAATATTTCTGTGCTCAGGAGCTTCATGGAATTGGGTTTCCTGAAGATCGGTGGCAGGGCAGAGGGGGGATGTGTAGAGGTGTGGCCCCGTACTGGGGGTGTCCCACCTGAAAGTCATATACACACTCAAACGGATGAGTGATATCATGCAAGGTGCGTACGTTATTGGATTCTTTTGGGGATTGTTTCTGAGTTATTAACAGGCTTCAAGGTATGTCATGTATGTCAACCAAGGCTCCTGTAAACTGAATTTCTTGTGCAATTGGAACTTAGGACTTTAAGCATTGCGTCCCAAACAAATGAGCTTGTAAGTGCATATGGTGTGCAATTAACATTCTGCCGCTGACCTCTTCACTGGGTGAATTCACAACAACAAAATAAAACAACAATATATTACCGACAATAAATGTAAACACCACCAAGATTTGAACCTACACCCACTTGAACACTGTACCGGTCGCTCTACCGACTCAACTTTCTGGCCCTTTTTTTTGGTGGTCCTTTGCCAATAAGCCAAGCAACCCCTGACAATAGTATAAAGGCCAGTTCATACTCGGAGTCAAAGTTGACGAGAATGCCAATGATTTGTGATATCACGGCAAGTAGTTGCGCTGCAAATTCGTATATAGGGTAAGTTGAACACATTTCGACTGTGGTGAATGTTGCAGTGAACGTTTCGTGATGTTACATGTTCATTCGCTTCTGATCGCATTAGCATGAATCATGAACCGGCCTTTTTTGGGGAGAACGCCTGAATATGGCACGCTTGCTTTGCAACGGACAGGTACACTAATCCGGAGGTTTGAGGTTCACATCCAAGTGAATAAATTTTCTCGTGCTTGCTCTCAAACTTATCATCCCTAAAAAATATTTGATTACACCTAAAAAATACTGACAAATCTCTTTTTAGATCATAACAGTTTCTTTGCATTCAACTGTCAATGTTTTGCTATCTTAAATAACATGCTTCTGTCTGTCAGTGTGTCTTATGAATATGCGATACATGCACATGCCTCAATCTGAACTGAAATTCAAGACAGTAAGCTTCACACCTCTTATGTATCCCTATGGAATTTTCATCTAATTTTCAACTAATTTACAAATATTTTGATTTGCTTTCAATATTCAAAATACGTCAAAGATATCATGTGATATGAAACATATTTTGTTTTATATAAAACTTGTCTAAGTGCATTCAGTGTGAAAGAAATTAAACAAATATATATTTTGAAAAGCATGCAAACCAGATGTTATTCAAATTAATGTATTTTGAGAAAATGAAGTCTTCCAAATCATGCAATTTCTAGTCTTTTCTTGAAAAGGTCAAGTTCTTGGGGTCTTTCAACTAATTTTGGCGCCAATGTAGCACTCGCAGCAGGTTTTTCTCAAGGGATGCGTGATTAATTATGCGCATCATCAATACAAATACTGCAAAGCAAAATCGAGGGAAAAGAAATGTTCAGTATTTCATCAAGGTAAAGCGCTTCAGGGGTTTTGTTTTGGAGGTTAATTTGGGGCCTGGAGCAGAGGCTAATTAAAATGCCCTGAGCTAATTGACCCGTACTGACATGTGGGTCAGGTTGCATGATGTTCAAAGGAACACTGCTCCAGACCAGCCACCAGGAATTCTCATCAAGAAAAGTCATTAAGCTTTCAAACCACCCAATGTGATTTTGGTTTTCAAAATAGTAGGGGTGAGGTGGAATTGTGATTTTGGCCTTTTTCAAAACTTGGGCTTCGCCTCAAGAACTGGCTTTATATCCAGCTCTCCAGAATCATTTAGAAACCTTTGATATCCAAACGGAATTGAAAATTAAATGTTCAATCGGACTTGTACAGCCTCCTAATATATAGAATTTGATGTCACAGTGCATAAATGTGTCAGGTTTTGAAAAGCATGAAGCTGGGGCTGATGTCAAAGCCAAGGTGGGAAATAACCAGGGGTTGCTCTTAGCCCAGAGTAAGAATACAGACCAAGTGACAATGTTGTCTTTTTCAGATGGTGACGAGAGATTTCATGATTTGGAGGCAGTTCATGGGATAGGGGATGTGATTTTTGATGCCTATAGCTAAATTTATGTTTCCCTAATCCAATTTCTGATAAAAACGTTTTAAAGTAGTAGTACAAAATCACAAACAGCATGCAAACGAATACCATGTTCTCCACGATAAAAGAAACCCCTCATTATGTCTCCAAGCTTAAAAAAGGGACCTTTACTCAATCACATCAACAATCATGGAACTCCTTTGTGATTTCATTTCTATTATTGTCAGTGTTGAAGTCAAGCACTCCATCCTCATTACTGATATGATTACGGAAGATTGGACGCAATTTAGTGAACAAGTTTCAAGTAGTGGTTCTTCACCCCATCTCCATGGCAACATGTCAGCAACCTCGAAGTGTTGTCATGGCAATGACGGTGATTTAATTATTACAACACTGTTTTGTCTTGAAGTACTTTCAATTTAGCTACCCCAACGGGACAATGAAAATGAGTTGAGTGTTTCATGCACGATGTTGAATTTCGTATGGTCCCTTTTCATAAAACTTGAGAAACGTGTGAGATAAGATTTTTATCAGTGTTGAAGTCGAGTTCATCATAAGACCACACAAGTCCTCATAAGTCCATCACAAGTCTCCACTTCTCACAAGTAATCCAGTCCGAAGTCAAATCGAGCTATTCAAATGACGGATTGAATTTCTTGAAGCCCCCCTCGCTTGTTACTCACGGCTGAACTAGTTAACAGACTTGTGATTTAGTTGTGACTGGACTTGTGATAGACTCGTCTCCAAGACTGATTTTCAACCTCATGCAAATCTTGTGGGCCATTTTTCTGTACCTGATATCTCTCTGGGTAGAATGCCTCTGGGTAGATGGCCGTGGCCGTCGTGTAGCCAGCCACGGGGGGCGGGGCAGCAATTCGGTAGGCAGTGTACGCGCCTCTCGTGGCCCGCCCTCTGCCTATCGCTGGCGCCCTGAGAGCACCGGCTGGGAAAATCGGCAGCTCCACTGTCCCAAGAAAATATCAAACAAGGTTAGAATGTTTTTCAAAGAAAAATTTTGTTTGGCATATCTGCAGGCATGTACTTGTTTTGATGTAACAGGTATGAGTTGTCACTTTCTCACTTTTTTATAACATTTCTATAATAAGAAGTTCACTTAAAAATGACTGACAGTGTAGGGGGAGTCTACATACTAAACTTTCAAGATTTGGTGAAACCTAGAAAGGCATTGTTTATGTGTCACCATATGCCTGGTTTAATTTGCACAGGTAACTGTTAGCTGGATGCTATTATTTTTATGCAACCATGTATAGTCAATCACCATAATGCGCATGCGTCAGTTGGTAATGGGATGGTTCTCGGACTTAACTTCCCTTTTAAAAAAAAAATGCTCCAGACCCATGAATGAGAAGAAAATGCTGAATTTCATTTTGTCGATCATCAGGACTTTATTTAACACAATTCAGGGAACAAAATCAGGCATGCAACTGGGAAGTCGCAAAAAAGAGGAAATTCAAATCTTTCTAAGACTTTGTACAGTGTTTTTTAAATATTTAATGACACGCATGGGAAGTTAAAAAAGAGGAAATCAGCAGATCCGAGGAAAAGTTGCATGCCTGCAAAATTCACTTTTGGGGGGAAAAACATTCCCTCCAGGAATTGAACCTGAAACCTCCAGCATTCAGATCAGCGATTTAACAATCACGCCACAGCGAGACCACGCTGACCGTTGTGGAATATAATCTATAAGAACTGATTCAGGAATCAGGTGACATATTTAGTTGTTCACATGACATGTTTCACGCATATGCATTATAGTCATTGACTACACTTGATTGCATAAAAAATAATTTCTAGCTGGACAGTATGCCTGTTATACTGCCCTCTTTTGACAAATCTGAGAGAGGCCATGATTTAGGACTTGCTTCTTAATCTCAGAGCAAGTTCGAGAGAGGACCATAATCGACTAGTGGTTGATTTGGGAGCTTGCACCTGCGCACTGAAAGTGTGCGAACGATTCTAGTCAAACGCTGGTCAAAAAGTCACCATGAAACTTGTTGGCCCTGGCTCCCCGTTGTCCTTTATAACACGCACAGCTATTGGTTACCAGTGATGCAACCGTGCGCTGCGATCCGGTTTCAAATAGTTGACTAGAATTGTCCAACAATTTTTCATTCGAGCGAAAGTAAGTTGAAGTATGGTTAAGTATAGTTAGGGCCCAAACTTGCCTTTAAACTAACACAATTTGTATGTTTGGTTTGCCGTGCCAAACTTTTCTTCCTTTAGATAGGGCCAAGTTCGGGCAAGGACCATTAGTCGACTAGTGGTTGATTTGTGACGTAACTTACGCCTGTGTACTAATAGCAACGTGCGAACGTCTCTAGTCAAACACTGGTCAAAATGTCATCGCAAAACTTCTGGGTCCTGGTTCCCTGCTGTACATTATTAATGCGCGCGGCTATTGGTAACCAGCAATGCAACCAGGCCTAGTAGGTTGGTTCCAAATAGTCGACTAGCGTAGTCAACCACAGTCGACTAGACAGAGTTCGGGCTAACTTTAGTCGAACTATGGTTAACCATTGGTCAACAATAGTTCTTGCGCGTACTTGCCCAAGGCTGTTTTACTTAGTTCCTGTTTTCAACTCACCAGTGCTTAGCAGTTCGGTACCAGTAATTGACTTAGGTGTCTTGTTCGTCATGACCCGCGCTGTTGCATTGTTCACCTATATCGGGAAGTAAACCAACAGACTAGGGTTAGAAAAAGTCTTGAAGTGGTGAGCTTCAGATAAACAGCCCCCTCTGTTGGTCTGATGTGGCCAGTTTTACTTCGTGAGAATATTTTAGATATTGTCGGATTTTGCCTTTGTTTTAAAGAATGGGTGAGAAAAAAGGATTTGATATTTTGTGCCAAAACATTTTAGCCTAGGCTCTTAAGAAATAAAATTTACAAATTTGGGTTTTGATCCAATTTTTTTGAGATGGATTGGAACTTTGAGGCTCTTATCTTTCAAATTTGTTTGTAGTTAAAAAAAATTATGAGTTGTCAGTTTACATCTAAGTTATAATTGTTTCATATAATTTTCAATCATCTTTTTACACTTTTCAGAAATTGTGTTCATTAGGGACGGTGGAGAAAGATTTTCCCCCAATATACCAAAACTAAAGCTCAATTTTCAAAATCAGACCACCATCAGAAAACGCTGCTTATCTGAATGAAAAATATCTTTGTGATGACGAATCAATGTTCAAATACTTCCACTTTAAAAAAAAAAAAAAAAAATTCAGCCAAATTTAATTGAACAAATACCAGATTTCTTTTATCAAGGAAGCATTGATAGAATTCTTGTGTTTTGACAACTCAATTGATCACAGCAATTCACAGGAAGTTTTTTATAGACATTGTTTCGTCAGCCGCTGTTGTCACGTTACGGACCCATTTATCACAACACAACACGCACGAGGGCAGAGTTCAAGATATCCAAGATGTCTTCAATTTACTAATGCCATACCAGTGCGACATTCTAAGATATTCTTAGTGTTTCCTTGCCCTGAAATTCAAGATGGTTTTCTCATCTAGGAGGCGTTGGGGAATGTAATAACTGTCCTCCATTGATCACTGTCATCACTTGTAAATATTTATGAATCTGGAGCACGCGATAATGACATTTCTTTGATTTTTCTTGAAGAAGAAATGCAAACTATCATGAACTTGGTTTTTCGGAATTCAACTTTGCAGTCATGTTTCGGGTTATAATGAAAAGACTCAAATTGACACCAGTGGCCCTTTAATGCGATAAAGGTGGTGATATCATTTGGTTGGTGCTAAATCAGTCTCTGAGCCGCCCTGGCATATCGTCAACATTCCGACGGTTTCGTGACCTCCGAGACAAATTTGGGGTCGTTTGGCAGCGGGGAAGCCAGGCTTTATATGGTCAAGAATGCACACGGGGAGGCCGGCCGCCCTGGCCCTTGACTTCTTGAAATTTAAATATAGCGACTGCCTCATCTCGGAGACAGAGAGGGATATTTGGGGGAGGGATCAACGGCTTAAGTCTGGCTGGTTTTCTGTTTCTGTCTTGATGACAGGGATGGCGAGAATTTAACATGGGTAAACAAGGGACGCTTTGGAGAAAAATCTTGGAAAGAATGTTTTAGGACGGTGATACTGAACTCTGCCCCCTGCTTGGCATTCAATACAAACACATAAAAAGCTGAAGCGAAGATAATTTTGAAAATTGGAAACAGAGCATTTCATGGCACAAAATATAACAATACATTTTCATACCAGATTCTGTGATGATCTAAAATTGATTGATTTTTAAATTAAATTTTTTTTTTTTTTTTTTTTTCAAGGAATGAGTACATCCCCAATGGCTGGAAAGTTCATTTTCAATTTAAAAGAACCTTCAGTAAAATACTAAACTTCTTGTCGGAAAAGTTCACGTTTTTTAATTTGTCATTCAGTATTTGGGAATTCCAAATATGCTTTGTGCCATGAAAAAAAGTCAAAGAAAAAGGACACAGACAAAGATTCTTAAAATATTTCAAGACTCCTCCCAAATTAACTTTTGACTTTTGTGATAAAAATAGCCAAATCAAATTGAAATAGATGGTACGATGTATTTGGAACGATTTTGCAAGAAATTTGTTATTCTTTCTGAAAGGATTCATACAAATTGTGTTCAAACAAACTGTGATCAAAATCTATAGTTTTGACGTTGCAATTGTAGAAGTACACATCCAAGAATGTGCTTCATTTCTTTTAATGAAAAGTTTGTGAAAATCAATGACGGGAAATAACTGTCCAAACATTGGAGGAATCTTGAAATACTGTCAGAAGATAACTTTTTTAAGTATTTACAATACCTACATAAAAAAAAGTATGAGATATTGACAAAAAAAAATTGGCTGGCCAGATGGTCAAGCTTTTGTTTTGTTTTCATCAACAAAAACTTGCATAAATAGAACAAATCTTTATTTTGAAGGCTTCACTGTTTAAACTAGTGTCAACAAATGTGCAATTGTTCTACATTTGTTCATATTTTTTCAATCGTTTGATATTTGTTCATCTTTTGTTTCATTAATCATTTTCAAAACAGAATTATCTGGATTTTTTTCCAAAAGAAACTTGACCTCTGGCCATTCATACAAGTGAAAAAAATGTTTAAAAAAATGGCAAAAGAATGTATTTCAAGTCCCTTTTTGATACAAATTTAGCAAGATCAATTTCAAAATTTGCAACCAGATCATAACTCATAAAAGTTATCTCATTAACTTTTCAAAATTTGTTAAAGTGTTTCTGATGGTCAAAAAACAGCCACTGAAGGTTTTACAAAGTGACCCACACGCATTTTCAAAGGGAATTTGTCATACATTCTCTTGTTTAAACCAGAACCTAAAAACATTTTCTTCAAACAGAACAATACAAAAGCCAGCCTTTATGGGGTATTTCATTGGTGTCTTTCACCAAAATCGAAAGGATCGAAAACAATTTCTCTAAATTTGAAAGCAACATCACTTCCTTCTTCAGTTTTTTTTAAAAATTGTTTTATTCTTTTTTTATGTCAATAAAATATTAGGCCAAATTTCAGTTATTATTTTTTTTTATATTTTGAGAGAAGAAAAAAAAGTCTCTACCAATTCCATGCGCTGGATTCTTGGCATCAGGCAGGCCCCCCTGCTGTCTAAATGGTACAGTCCCTTTGAGGTGTGGGCAACGCATTAATTACTGGTCCCTAGCTGGTCGGACTATACCACTGAAGGAAGCGTATGGGGATGCTATACAAAAAAAATCTTACATTTCCCAATATTCCTATTCTGGGTCGTTTTTATTAAACTACACATTAACTTAACGTCTTTGATTGATTTTCCATATATTAGATGGGGACAATGCACACTTTCAAGATTACTTTAATGTATTAGTTCCTGTACCGCCCCAAACCGCCCCATCTGTTACTTCCCATACTGCCCAGAATCACTCCAGCACGGTACAATTCTCATTCATCAGGGAGAAATACAGTAATTAATGCTTTCATTTAAAAAAAAATCACAACAAACCGCTTAAATAACACCCAGTGGTCCTAAGTTTCACTAAAGTTTCCTACAATTTCTGGAGCTTTGCGGGAACTTGTAGAATTTAAAAGCAAGGTGAGCCGTCGCCTGTGTCAAATAAATCCAGTTTCAGGATATTGCTAGGACAAGTGTTGAAGAAAACCAGCTCTGCGGCAATTGCTAAAAATGAGTCGTCTCTCCACAAATGTACAAATGTTGGTTGGTGGTGGCTGTGCGTTCTTAAGACCAAACTGTAACAAAACTTGTGACGTCGGCTATACGATAAATACTTTTAATTTTCCCGATGGTGTGGTACATGTCTGTTACACTTCAGAGCAGAAAAGTCATTTATGAGCTACAACTATACTAACAACTGAATACAACACCTACGTTTAGAATCAGGAAACTATGATTTTAAGAAGTCAAATTTAAAACGAGAACTCTATGCAATATATTTCTATTCAGAGGGTTTTATTAAAATATTTTCTAAAGTTGTACAATGAAATATGCAAATTTCAAATTTGTAAATTTCTTGGGGAAAACAAAAATGGATCGACTTGTCCAAGCACCTGCTTTCAAAGGTCAAAGTTCACATGACGACCCTTCGTGTCAAACCCCCTGGTTGACCCTCCTCTTTGTCCAATCAGCTTCCTCTATCTGGTCTTGAGGCCATTTGAGGGAAACACAAACAGGTTATATATTTGTAGCGAATCCGAGGAACATGCAAGCGTCGAATTAGATCAAGTTGATGATGGAGTTGAAAACGTTTGCATGCATCTGTGCAAGTCTTATCAGAGGCAGTATTAAAATATTGAATTTAATGGTTTTAATTATGAAACAAATAAGTCACTGAGGTTATGATTTTGTTATTATAAGATTGTTCTGATAAATCTTAGATTTTGAATCGGCATCAGCATTTCTTTTACAAAATGTGAGATCAAAATGCAACCGGAAAATGGACTTAAAAAGTTTGGACAACACTCTTCATGCAACTTGAAAGTTTGCCCTTTTTTGTCTGGTAACACACTTTTTTTTCCAAGTTGATTATCGGTTCTGAATTCCAGCACTAGCTTTCACTAACTTAATCAACGTGAACTTTCACTAACTAAATCAATGTAAAGATAGAGACATGCAAGTCCATTTGAAATGTTATCACTAATTGAAAAAAAGTTTATTGTGCAAACGGCGGACACCAGCTAACAATCCATTCAGTTGCACAAGTACCATCCCAAACTAATGTCAACGACAAACCGTACCGCCGAAAAAAAAAGCTTTCAATTAAAGATGCATGCATTTTTTTTGCTACGGGCTATCCAGGATGGGTTAATCTTTAATCAACTAATGGGCTAGCACCGGCGGCCATAATGCACGGTAGTCGTTTTCCAGCGCTTGTGTAACAGACCATCTGGAGTGCGGAGCACCAGTTATTCATCATTTATATTGCCGTGATGCATTTGGCTCCGTAAATGATTGAAAAAACGTCGGTTTCCCTGTACGGTACGTGCACACATGTCCACTCGAAGCCAGGGAGAGGCACGAGTACTGGTAATTTCGCTCTTTTCAAAGTCAAACATGCTTCAACTCCTGCGGAAAATTCCCGTCAAGTTCTGGTTGCTAAGGGGACATTTGATATTAGGGAATTCCTCAGTGATGCTTTGTCGCTTTATTGAAAGAGTGGCTCTATCAAAGCAAATACTCATAATAATTAATGCACTTGTTAAACCAACCCAAAACATATGGTGCACGAAATAATTCTAAATCTAAACTTTCCAATCAAATATTACGAATCCTTTGAACAGTCTCGCATGCATCAATACGCTAACATTAACATGTGTATGTACAAATCTGAATTTCTGGAGAAAACCAAAAATTGGAAAGAAAAAATACTTCCACAAAAACAACAGAGAAAAAAAGCAACCTGATATGTTTATCGTGTAGAATTTCACACCTGTAGTTTTTGATCATCTACTGGTATTCAGAGCTCATGCAATTTATTTTTGTCCACGTTATCATGCAGGAATTGTACAGTAGGTTTTTTTTCTTGGCGTTTTGCATGCATCGAATAATGAAAGTGCAGCGGCAATGGAATATACACTGTGGAAATATAGCCATGGATTGTCAGGTGTGCCCATGCTTTGCATTCCGTGGTACGCGTCCAGGGCAGGTACGTATGTGTTTCAAAAATTATGAAGACTCTCGCTGTATATGTACTACCTGATGTCTAAGTTATTGTTCCATACGAGAATAGATAATCCTAATGTATTTATCTAAAAATTACATGGGTTATGTGACCCATCCTCCCCCCCCCCCAAAAAAGGAGTTTTTCATGTTGGTAGTATATGAGGGGCTAAAGAACCCTTTGTGTTGCAGTCATTTTTGAGGTGGTGCTTTTTTTCCACAGGGATACGATTGAGTAGACCTCCTGTGCTTTGCTGTTACTGAATTTTAATAACAAAGATCACCCCAAAGATGGCTACTGAGTGGAAAGGGTCTATACCTGTCAATATTTTTAATGTAAAGCTAATAAAAGCTGTCTCCTAGAAGTTAATGAAAAATCAGAAAATTAATATGAAACAAAATTGGTATTTTGTAAATTGATTTGAGACTCCTAAGTTTTGGGTATGATTCAACAATAACTTTACGATATTTTATATAAGCAGTTAAACTAGCATTAAATGTAATTATAAAAGTTGACTTTTATTTTTTTAATTTAAATTGTAAGAAACAAATTCAAAACCAAACCTCACTACTCTAAGTGCTCAACCCAATCAAGGAATAACCATTCACCGATCATCGGAAAAAATTCACCAATCTGCAGGCAAGCATTCGTCGGACCAAAAACTCAGACATAACCACGACATATCCCATCAGGCATTGCAATACTCTTGCTTACTTTAAAACCTATCAAACTCGTAACAACGATTTTTAATTCACCAAATGTGTTTGAAATTAACATTCAGCATGCAGTTCTGTTTCTTTCAAATGTAAAAAAATACCATCTCCTTAATGTTATACCACACTTATCCATCATATGCAATCGTCAAAACAATCGTAGAATGGTCAAAAACCAAAATAAAAAAATTACTGTCATAATGGAACAGACATGTAGCACACCAAGCAGTTTTAAAACTGACCACAATGCAACCCGTTTCCTAATTCACTATACGATGCACATTCAGTTGTGTTCAATACCATCATAGTTCAAATCATTCCATTTGTTTGGTGGCATTTCATGGAACCACTAACTTTGTGCACACACCAACCTCTTAAATTTGTCGTCAGACTTTTTATTTGGTCATTCATTCGGGATTGGGAGAGAAAAACGGAGGGAAAGCAGACAGGGTTTTGTATTGTTACACAGGCAATTTTTTTTCTCAAAAAATACCTTTTTGGTTATCAATTACTGAAAAGTGCGTGGTACTGAAAATGCTAAAGATAAAATGGTACTAGATGCATGGCATCGAATGGGACGGATGTATCGCTCCACTTACCCACACCTACTGAGGGCCCAACCGTTAACGTTAGCTCGATCAATCGGGCTGCAAGACCGATTTGCGCTTTTTTCGAGCTCGTGTGGCTCTATCAAATGGCCCTCAATTATGAACCTCTGGCAGGAACAGAACACAAAGGCAAGTAATGGTGGTGGATGGTACAATATTTCCTTGTCATATTTTTTTTTTAGGAGGGACTGGCAATTCAGGTGATGGGAAAAGGATGTAAAAAAAAATCACAATGGTGGAAAACGAAGTAAAGAAGCCTGTCGACAGATACGTGTTACTCAAACTAGTTCGGGTGAGGTATTTTTTCGGTTTAATTTCTGTTAATCAACCCAGTCCCGTTTTGATTTTAGCCTTGTTAGAATTGTGGAGATTGGAATAAGATCTGCCATATTTGGCACAGAGTGACTGTAGTACTACAATGAGTTTGGAGAAGAAAAGATTCAGGAACTTAAGTTAACTCTATGAGAGGGAAAGTGGTGAATTTTTAGAACGGACTTTTTCAAGGTGAATGTATGGAGTAAAGTGACTCCTGATAGGGCACTGCTTTGAGTGAGAGTTTGTATCAGCCAATCTGAGGCGGTGTTACACAACAGACTTCAATACTTGGTTTTCGTCACCACAGTGATCATCACAGTCGTCATGGTGATAGAGATATATAGATATATATATAATACAAGGCTGTGTGGCTGTGGTTAGCGTGACATATTTTCACAAGAAGCACTTCATGAGAGTCTATTCATGCAAAATACATCACACCAACCAAACACCCCATCATTCATACTGCTAATAAGATAATCAACATCAGCCGTACAAAAAAACAGCCTTTGTAGAAAAATAAAAAATAAAAAATGAAAACGAAAAAAAAAAATGTACACTTCAGTGTGTGTTCTTTTAACTTTTCTAAAGAGGATAAATCTTACGAAACAACATGCACCTCAATTTTGCGCCCCTCAACAATTGAGCCGTTCAATTTCTCTCGTGCCCTGTCGGCGTCCGAACTATTTTGGAAAGTTACAAAACCGAATCCCTGCATGCATGGGAAGTAAATAAAAAACAAGACATGCAACACATTATAAAAATCATGCATAAGTATAGGAGAGAACATAGGTTTTTTTTTCTGTTGTACATGTAGTTTATGATATCTTGGACATTCGGATCAAGTTTGTGATGGTTAAAAAAGTGCTTGAATGTTTTTTGGGGTTATTTTGAGAGACTCGTGCACTGTAAGACATGGATGGCAGGCAGAGAGAGGGGGCGGGGCTTAGAAAGGGGCGGAGAATTAGAAATGTAGAGTGGTCATTCCTGGGGTATTATTAAGATGATTAAGGGTACCCGGTATGTAATAGTGTTTCACTATCAGTCACATTGCGATTGAATGATTAGGAATTTTCATTTTTGGTAATAGGAAGGGAGATGACTGTTAATAAGGAAGAATTAGAAGGACATATTGACCCCAAACCATGGCAACTATTTACGTCATCAAAATCATTATGAAGATTACATACCGTGTACACGTGTGAAAGTACTTCAGTTCAAAAATAAGAGAAAATTTCATCTGCATGAATTCAGATTTTTTTTCCAAACAAACTAATTTTGGGGGAAAAAAGGTAGAAAAGCCTTTTGTCTGTCAGGGATTGTGAGCGATTCAAATATTTTTACATTTTCAAACTTTTTTTCTCGAGAACTATTGAAATTTCAAACAAATTCAACAGCATTAATTTTTTTCAAAAAGGTAGGGATGTCTCATTTTTGTTTTTGCATAAAACAATTGGAATAGAAAAAAATTGCTAATATTGAGCGAGTGGATTTATAAGGAATTTTGCAGTACGAAATGCAAGCAAGTAGTACGAAATGCAAGTTGGTAGTTGTGGACGTTGGATCCTGGTGCGATGCTGTTTTTTTTCTTCAAATGTCTTGCCAACTTTGGGGTGGGGTATTAGGACTCTGCCCTGCCAATGGTTGGGTACCAGTGAATGATGTGTGCATGCTGGGCGAGTGATTGAATGAGAGAGAGTGGGACCAGCTTTTTTTTTTCATTGAAGAAACGGCCAACTATTGGTGAAATACAGGATGCACAGCCACGAATCATAGCAAGTTAAATGATCAGTCTCAAGATATTTTGGGGGATTAAAAGAGCATGAACGGTTGCTACATGTAGTTTTAGTCAATGTCAAGCAATGGGTCTAGTACTGATTGTCAAAATATAGCTACATGTGTTTGGGAAATAGCATTGGTTTTTCTTTTCTATTTACATTCAACATGATAAAAAAAGCAATGGATATCAATGCAACATTGTAAACAATGAAGAATATGCTGAACACTGTCACATCACCGTCAGTCTTGACAATAAAACTTAATAATTTGCAAACTGCAACACATCCCCAAAATTTGAATTTTTACTGAAAAATAAATTTTTTTTAATAATTTTTTTTAATTTTTGGCTCTCAATGCAAAATGTCTTGTGCTTCCATCTTGTGTCGTGCTTGTTCACCCAAAACACCAAACAATTAAACAAACAAAAAATCCCTTGGCTTGACAAAGGCTTTCACTCAACTGTTCAAATCCCGTTTTATAATTAGCAACAAATTCCCATATTCTGAGAGCATTTTTAAAAGTTTGTGAAAGTGCAGTTTGGCAGACCATCGAATAAAGAAGAAATAAACAATGGCACAAATCACTCACTGTCACTTACGAATGCACCCTCCTAACAAACAAACAAATGTCTTGGGATTTGATTCTCCTACAGTTATCTTGATGTCAAAGTACTAAGATAATAAGGTGACATGAGATTTATATTTGTAATTTTGATTTGTTTATAAACTGTCTGCTTTTAGTGCCAGTGAGATGTGACGGTGATGCGACAGTGTTACAGCCTAGCAGGAGCTAAGTCCCTGACAGCCGCTGTGGATAAAAAGAGAAGAGGTCAGGCAATAGACAAACACTGATTGCAATCAATGGGGGTGATGAGGAGGGTGAAGACCCAACATGGCTGGTGTTTGGCTGGTGTTTGGCTGGTGTGTGGCTGATGTGTGGCTGATGTGTAGCTGGTTTATGGCTAGTGTGTTGCAGGTGTGTGGCTGGTGTGTGGCTGGTGTAGGGCTGGTGTATTGTGTAGGGCTGGTGTATTGTGAAGGGCTGATGTATTGTGCAGGGCTGGTGTATTGAGTAGAGCTGGTGTATTGTGCAGGGCTGGTGTATTGAGTAGAGCTGGTGTATTGTGTATGGTTGGTGTTTGGCTGGTGTTTTGGCTAGTGTATGGTCGGTGTGTCAGTGATGTATGGCTTGTGTTTCAATGGTACATGTACAAAATGTATGTGGCTGGTGCATTGCTGATGTACGGCTGGTGAAAAGCTAGTGTATGGGTGAGTTTGTTTCTGCATTCAATAGGGGACGTTGAACAATAGAGGACAAAAGGGTCCCCAATTCCCAAAGGTCCCCAATTTTGTGATCGTGTACAAAACATATAGGAGATCTTCCTAAAAATTTAGGGTACAAACAAAAGAGAGACAATAGGGGGTCCCCGATTGCAGGCAAATACACACTTGTATGTGTAGGGATGGTGTATAGTTGGTGTATGGCTGGTGTTTTGCTGGTGTTTTCCTGGTATGTTTGGCTAGTGTATGGCTGGTGTTTCAGTGATGTATGGCCCAGGTTTCAATGGTATGTGACTGGTGCATTGCTGATGCATAGCTGGTGAAAGGCTAGTGTAAGGGTAGTGTTTGTCTGGTGTTTGGCTGGTGTATGGTTTATGTTTAGCTGTTGTATAGCTGGCATACGGCTGGTGTATGGTTGATGTTTGGCTGGTTTATAGCCGAAATGTGGCTGGTGTACATCTGGTGTGTGGCTTGTAATTCCATGGTGGGTGGTCAGTGTATGGCTGGTATTTCAATTGTTGCTGTGAGGTTGATGGTTGGCTGGTGTGTGCCACATGTATGGCTGGTGTAAGCCTGGAGTACAGTTGATGGATGTATGACGAGCGTAAAACAGGTGTACATGTCTGACTTGTGTTCAAATAGTGTAAGGATAGTGTAAATGTCAAGCAGAAAGTGTAGTGTGAGGCAAGCGTAGTACCAGTGCATGGCTGGTGTTAAATTGTGTGACGCTGGCTTGAATGACATCACTTTGATTTTGTGCTGAATGCATTGTTGCATGCAAGGTTTGCAGGGAAATAGTTGGTTTTGAATTCAGACTAATTGAATGTAAAAAAAAAAAAGACTGAAGACCATACAGAGCAGCCATGATGGGGGTCACCTCCAGCAAAGGTCAAAGGTCAAGGTGCAGAAATCAGAAGCAGATGCACGATGCACAATGATGATAAACAATGCATGTGATGGAGCTATCATTTTTTGCCCTCCAAATTTGTGCTGTTGGAGGGCAAACCTAACACATGTACAAGTAACACATTTGATCGGCAAAAAAATATGGTGCTGTCTTTATTGCAAATTAAGTAAAATTGGCTTTTGAAAAATACATATCATTTTTCTTTCTTGAAACTTAATGCAACCACAGTACTTTTTTTTTTTTGGCAAAAGGCAGCACCCATGGTGAAAATTCACACGGTAACAAACGAATGTGTCATCTTCATAAAATATACAAATAGAAACAAACAACAGTGTCTACAAAGGGAAGGAAAAGGGGTTGTCACACACAAAAAATCCACAATATTATCATTCCAACCAAAATAAAATGAAAAGACGGACCACAACTTCTTGGACGTTTTGGTTCATGCTCGAGCCAGAACACAGCTGGCTGGAAAAAATAGATTTCACACCGAGATGCAGATTGTTCTTTTTCTGTGAGGGACAAGTGCAGAATGTGCTAAGGTGCATTCCATCCAACCAAGGCAGACCACAACTCACCTAAAAAAAATTCTTTCCTTTTTTCCCCTTCAACTAAACAATGCATTCTAACAAACAGTATTTCATGAAACAAATGATTAAAGGGAATATACAACATCAAAAAAACAGAACTACCAAATTAGTGTGAAATACCTTACTGGACTTTTAGTGAATGACAGTCTAAAGCATCCTGTAAAATCATGGCACCTGATGTGCTGTCATTTTCAAGAAAAGTGGTATTTTTGTATCAATTTCCAATGATGGTCGGCCGACCAGCATTGGAAAAAACTGGCTTTCTTCAAATACTGCCCCCAAATTACCATTATTTAGTTAGGTAGCATTTGTTTGCAATCGATTACACACCTATGAACGGGTACAAGCCAGCTAGACTGTTTCCCCAACCTTACAATTCCCTGACATCTATAAATTGCTCTGTTTCATCTTAAGTGGGGTCAGGGAACCAGACTACAGGAACGTGATTGTTTTTCTGTTTTTTTCCCAGCATCTACGAACACAAAACTTCAAACAAGTCATTGTAACAATATTTCCTATGAAAAATTAGACCCCCAAATCCACCCATTTCTGAAAATTACAGCAAAAGCAAATGTTGTATAATCCCTTTAAACAGAGCTTGCAAATGATAAATACTTCTTGAATTTTGCGTTGGGTACTTGTACATGTACATGTATAACCTTACTTTGTTACTGTAGAAAAAAATACTCCTGATCATAACTGACAGCAAATAAAGAAAAAAGCATTGTTGCTTCTCAGCATCATTAAGTATAACTGACATTTAATTTCCTTTCCTACACACTATGAAAAGACCTATGCAATCTCCTAAGCCACTCGCTTCTCTCCATCAAGGGAAATGTTAATTTGTACTCCCTATTATTCACAGTCTTCATTCTACATAGAATGGCCTAAGATAGCCTGAAAAGGTCCAAGATCTAAACTTTTTACAATGTGTGTATCGTTAGCTGTATGAGTGGAACTTTACAAATTGACCCTCTCGCCCCCAGACCACATTTGTTGGATTTGTTTATAAAATATTAGATTTTATATGACTCATCTTCTTTGAGTTCTATTCACCCATCTTCATTCATTTTGTAAAAAACAAATATTCCAAGCTCTTACGCCTACCCCACAATTAAAAAAAACCAAGTACTGGTATATTTACTGAAATAGTAACACATTCTCACACAGTAGATTACAAAAGGAAAAATTTCAAAATTGCTGATGATGCTGAAAATACTTTGTTTACCTACACGTAATTTTCAACCCTACAATATGAACTCTTATTATTTTTTAATTCTACTGAATACACGCATGTGCGTCCTTTCTTCTTAAACTATCAAATATATCGTAAAGAGTTGTGGCTGCTCAATCAGATGGAGAATAATTCACACAAGTGCATAAAACTAAAACTCAAATCTCAAAATAAAAAAATATTCCGACATTCAAACACTATGCACTTCAAACCAAACAAATATACACCGATGCACAAAAGGCCACACCCCCATGCTTTACAGTGTCGAACGGGGACATGCATAAAATGTGTATAGATACCCAAAGTTCAGGTTTACGGAACATTTACCCTTTTTTTTTGTTAATTGGCTTCCCTTCAAAATGTTGTTCATTTCGTTCCATATATCAAAATTGTTTTTGTACATCAACGTCAGTTGAGAAAAGAAGCTATTTATTTTAGGAAAAAAATAGTTACACTGTTGTCTGTTTCAAAGTTGTTTTTTTTTTTTACTTGAAAAGTGTCGACAAATTCCAAAAGCAATTCTGGTTTCAGAGATTTTTCTCATAAAAACAATTTGTAAATGTACACAACCAACAAAGAATTTGCAATAATTTGTACAATTCTCTCAGGTTTCCAATTAGAAAAATCATGATTAATCATGATGAGAGGAGCGAGATCTCTCATCTATCTTCCAAAATTGTGATGACACATTTGGACGTGCTAATAAGAGAAGAACAAAACCACCAAAAGATTTCTTTTCATTTTGTTGTAGTTGTTGAATAAATGTGGTGGCTAATGGCCAAACCAAGTTTCAGAAATATTTAGAGGAGATAGCAGTGAAATTTAAGTGTGATTTTTTTGATGAATGATATGGCGTGATGGTGAAACGCAGCCAAAATGAGGGATTATGAAGAAACCTATGTATCTCTCCTTTTGTGTCAATCATTAATCCTCAGTTTATCTTTGTTTTAAATTCAATCAGCTTCAATCATTTGGGAATGTCATTTCCACCAATTTTTTAAAAATCACTCTAGTGTGCAGTTCAGTTCTCAGTGAAGAAAAAAAACAGCGTAGCCAGAATAATTTGGGGGACATTTTCTCATTAATTTGAAAAACCAACGAGTCTACCCAAAGCATTGTCACTGTCTGGTTTTGATATGAAATTAACAGGACAGAACATTGTGAAAAACAGACTGTGTACAACTTATAAGGTCGTGTGCGTCTGGTTTTGTGTTCCTAGGTTGTAACAGAAACCTGTGGGCAAGACGCGACCGCTTCGTCAAGAACTCAAAACAGACAGTTCTGGGACAAGTGCACAAGGTGTAAACAATTATGAGTCCCAAGCATTCACATCCAATTTCAGGCCCTGAACACTGATGAAACTACATTCTTGCTAGATAGAGTGCTGGTGCGTGGTATGCAAAGTAATGTACCTGTCGTTTGGAAAGCGGATCAGATTTCCGCTAAAAGCGACACAATCCATCACATGCAGTGAATTTTTGAGTGGGTTTTAATGACAGGAGATAAACTCTGAAATCAAGCGACCATCTTGTGCACCCCGCCAAAAAACAACACTGTTCACGTGTGCTGTACGTTAACAAGAATAAGAAGTCGTTCAAGGGTCCCAGACAGTGACAACGAGACAGGTAGCTTTTTGGTGACACCTCCCTCCCCTGAATCTAACTTTCCCTGCCCACAACATGAGACTGGATTATTTCACCAAGTTGTGAGAGAAATTATCAATCACAGGCCAAAAAAAAATTAAAATCTGAGAACTGAATGCGACATGCACAAACCAAAAACGTCAGTTTTAAGTCACTTTGTAAGTTTGAAAGTTTCATCCAATACATGCTTTTGATCAAACTATTCCTCAGACTTCCTTTAAATTGTTTCAATTTCCTCTCAAAAACATGAGTAGTTGTATTTCTCTGCATCAAGTTGGCTATATTTCAACCCATACAGCTGCAAAGACGCAAATGAAATGGCCACTAAATTTCTTCAATAACTCCGTTCAGTAGCCAGAATTGGCAAATATAGTCCTAAAGTCGCCCAAGTGGCTATGGCAAACAGTGTAAGCAAAACATAAGCCACAGTAGCCAATCTGATAGCCACAACAGCTATCTCTTAGCTGTATATATTTTTTTTAAAGCAGCCATGTGAAACCTTGCTTGCCATATTTGCCATTTCTTTACAGCTGAACCAATCAAGTTCGTGGGCAAGTTTTCTTCTCGTGGAAAATTGCAACCAGGTTTTCTATTTCTCAATTTTGGATAAATAAAAATGTGAATAAGGGTCTTGGCACTCAGAATTAATTGAACAAAACTCCAACTGTGCCGGCAAAAGAGTACACATTTGCAATGCTTGAAATATGTCCGTTTACACAATGTCTTAACGGACTCTTTTCCAATATCACTGCGGGAGTCACCGGCAGCGATTATCTTGGCAGCCACTGCTACCGACAGAAATGTTAAAACTGGAAACAGAAAGTGAAACCATTCCACCAGCCAGATGACCTTTCGATTGTTGCCATGACCCTTGACCCCAACCCTATGTCAACAATCTCAAAAAGTCTGAGGAATTGCGTTTCTCCAAGAAGCATCGGATTATTTCTTTTTAAAAAATAAAACTCTTCATAACAACATGCTTCCAAGCACATTCAGATTTCTTATCGGTCAGAAACGCATGCATCAGTCAAACAACTGAACAGCAAAAGAACTGAATAATAAAAATTATTTAAAAACCATAAAAACAAAAAGAAGCCGATTTAATTATCAGCTGCATTCCGCAAGTCCATTCGGGAATTTATCATGCGGCATTCAGGGGATAGTTCAGTTTCATCACACTGCATGCCAAAGAATTGAGACAGATTGGGTGTCACATGACTGAAGGAGGGAGGGGGGGGGGGGTCACATGACTTGGAACAGGGCGGACTCACCTTTGACCCCCGCTCATTGAAGATGATTTCTACATCGATGATGGGACCAAAGGGCTGCAAGAAGAATTTGACAAACTTTAAAAATAAAACCACATTGCAGATGCTATAGATGCAACCCATTTAATGTGGGGAAGATGTACATGTGTGGGGTAAACTGTGTGGGGTAAACAAGTCTTATTATGTCACTTCATGAAAAAATATATACTCCCTCAAAAATACGTTGTTGTTTTTTTTACTTTAGATTTCACCTTAAGAGCATCAGGTAAAAGATGTGTTTCAAACTAACCATGTAACTGGGGAAATGGTGAAGAAAATCCAACTTGAACCAGACAATTACGTTTTTTTCTGTTTTCGATGGCACTAATTGGTTTTGAAAATATGGCGAAATTGGATCAAGGAAAACAGTTTGTCCTTCAAATCTTGGTCATGATGACCGCATACACACATTGTACATACTTAGTCAAGATAATATTAAGTAAGTTAACCTTCTCCTATCTTACTTAAGTCTTACTTGGAGTGTTTTTTTTGTTGATTGAGTGCACAGTTGGAAAAATTGGCAACACAGAAAAGTAAGTAAATATCGTAGAAATGGTTCCCTAAGACAATTAGGTGACTAAGAAAATTATCCAGCAGTCATGCTTACCCCGAAAAGGACCCTCAAGTCTGGATCCCTGAACCTGAATGGGATATTTGATACATGAAGCCTCTTGGGCGATTCGCCAGGCTTGGCGGCGGGTAACGCCGGCACGACGGCCTGGCCCACCTCCCCCGTTGGGGGCGCTTGTGATGTCTGTACTTGCTCACCCTGCAACAGAGAGACAAAAAAAATATGAGAAGACATGATTAAGACATTTTGAAAACCAGTTGAAGAAGAAAAGTCTGCTTAGAGGAAATTGTAAATACTTTTGCTTGAAATCAAAATAAGAGTTTAGGTCTTCTGACTAGCACCGTCATGAACAACATCTGGGAAAGGTGGAGCAACCGTATGGTGTTCTAGAGGTCACAGGTTCATATCCCGTAGTCCCGTTCATGTCAATTTTCTTCACTAACTCTAAAAACACTTTTTAGTAATTAAAGGGTCCATGAAAAGAAATTTTCTGAGAAACATATTTTGCGCTACTTTCTAACTCTCCTTAAACGTATGAAAACTATTTGACATCCCTTTATGTTATTCAAAAGTGCACTTCGTTAAACATTTAAAATTTTCTATGCTTTTTTGGACAACCGAGGGCGCCTTACTCTCAATAGGGGAGATGAAATAGGTAAAGTGTCTTGCCCAAGGACACATGTATCACTATCCTATTGGCTACAACATCACAATCCACAGTCCAATAGATGTGTTACAAACACATCTGTTGGACACAACCAAACAGGGCAGATGAAATGAGTAGAGTACGTATGTATCTTGCCACATGTACCTGTACCCAGGTATGCAACTGAGAATTCAGAGAAAACGAGGAAACCCAAACCACACAAGACTTTGTACAGTATTTCTCAATTTGTAATGGCATTCATGAGAAGTAAAAACCGGGGCAATCAGTGGATCAGAGGAAAAGTGGCATGCCTGTGTACCGCTATTCTTCTGGCTGGACTCGTACATACATGTAAACACAATCTGCCGACTACAACGCCAGAGCAATGCATGAATTCTTGTTCCGTAGTTGTTGGGACATACACTCATCTGTACAAGGTATTGTGGGGACCGAAAACGCTGTGGGGACAGCAGAAATCCCCATAACTCAGTCCTAGTTTGCCTAAACAATAAAAAACTTCACCAAAACGCGGTGTAGGCCCACCCACAGTCTGAGGGATGTGTTACACATGCATAATTTATGGGAAAGTTGTCTTAAGATATGGGCAAATTTACCAGCTAATAACACCTTGTCTAAAATATTTGTGCATGCCAAATTGCATGACAAAGTGAGTTATGTCCAAAGTAAGTGGGGCGGGGGCAGGAAGTAGGACCAAAAGGGCCTGAGGTCATTTTGTCACCAAACTTGACAGCGGATGAGGGGTCTGGTCATATTTTATGTCCTTTTCCTCACACCAAGAGCTCAGTGTGGGTGGACAAGCAAAGTGATGTACAAAAATACCACGGTCAATATTCATGAGAAACTTTATGACCAGTGAAGCAGGGGAAAAATAAGATCTGGGCACTTCGCACGATCTCCTCCCACCTAAAATCTGTGACATTGTGCAAAGACAGCCTAGCATGGTGGTGTTAATGATTTGGATAAAAATATTGTTGCATGTGGTTACCAGTCATACTGGGTACCAACTTTGAACTTTTCTTCGCTAAGCAGTGAGTTAGCTGCTGTGGATGATGCAAAAATCTAACAAATTTGATTCAGTTAAACAGATTGGGGTGAGAGGCTACGTGTATGGGTTCCGAGCACAAAGCACCCCCTCAACAGTAAGAAAGGGAGAGTTGGGTGATGAAAACCGGGAGAGGCATTCGAACGCATTGCCGAAGACGCCTGATGCTCAAGCGAAAACGCTATGGCTATGTGCACCTTCTGAATTAAATAAGTTGTGCGTACTTAACCAGTACGCTCACGCAGTGTGTGCTGTCCACGGGGCACGGGGCTCTCAAAAGTGGTAAAAAAAAAATCCCTCTCTTGTTGGTGCACAGAGCCCCTAGGGTGCCACACCATAACTCACAGTAAAACATCTGTAAATAGATGAAATGTATCTGTAATAACGGACAGAATATGCCATAATCACAGGCCAAGTTCGCGCAAGGACTATAGTAGACCAATGGTTAACTAACGTTTGCCCGAACTCTGTCTAGTCGACGGTGGTTGACTACGCTAGTCGACTATTTGGAACCAGCCTACTGGGGTTGGTTGCTTCGCTGGTAACCAAAAGCCGCGCGCATTCATAACGCTAGCAGAGAGCCAGGATCCAGAAGTTTTGCGATGATATTTTGACCAGCGTTTGACTAGAGACGTTCGCACGTTGCTATTAGTGCGCAGGCGTAAGGTACGTCACAAATCAACCACTAGTCGACTAATGGTCCTTGCCCGAACTTGGCCACAGTTTAAGACATAGCCATATCCATAACAGTGCCATACCCTAAAATCACAGCCACAACCAAAGACGTAGCCATTACCACAAACCCAGGAATGCACACAACATGTATTTCAAATGGCTATCCAAGTGATTGTACACAAATCATGAAGTTTGGAATATAACTGGCTCACCATTCGTCTAGGTGCCTACCATGACATATATCCGTGCAACACTACTTGCAACACCCAAACTTCAGTAGAACTCCACAATATCACTGATGTCTGAAAAACGTGTTGAGAATGAGTCCTCAGAGTCACTGTAAACCAGACTTGTACAGACTGCATGCTCTCGTGCCTACCGAGTGCCGACGTGTGGCGAAACACTCCTCAAACCTTCCGAGACAGTACCCTCGGATTACCATTAATGGCTCCGCATCGTATCTTTTAATGACCTGCCCTGAATATGATATTCAGTTTGTCTGGCAGAGCCATCAGTGACTACCCGGGGAAGTTAAGGGCAGTCTGTTGAACTATAAACATTTACAGCGTGTTGTCTTGTCAAATATGAGAGTTTGATGTCTACATTGTGCATTTTTGAGTTTGTCAGCTGTCCAACATCTATCATAACATCTTAAAGGCAACATGTACCAGTACATGCAGCGAAAACTGCAATATTTATTGTTTAAATGTCTGGTCTTTGTGTAGATTTCAACTGCATGTATGGGGTGGTAAGTATTTTCTGTATTGCTTCTTTAGTATGTTAAGTTACATTGAATGTGTGGAGAGAAATGGTAAGATTGGGTTCTAGACTTGCATTGTCCATTGTATTTTTCGATTCAAAATTGTTAGGTTTGGCTATGAGCCCAACCAATTCCTTGCAGAAAAGTTAGGAAAACAAGGTTCAATGAATATTTTTTTTTTTTGCTCATTTCTAAAATGAAGCAAATTTGAAATCAAACAAATTAGAAGTGGAAATATCTCAGAGTTGACTATTCCTACAACCTTTACTTGTTCAGAGCAGCAACTGTCTTTCAGTAAGTACTGGACCAAGTCCACCAAAATCCATCAATATTGAGTCAAACCAGGCCTGCAGGACCAAGTCCCCCAAAATCCACTAAAATGGGGGGATGGATTTTGATGGAGTTGGGGAGGTAAGGCCAAAGTAAAAAAATTAAAAACTCGGTCTCTGGTCAGCGCGGGCGTCGATTTTAATCATGCGCGTTACCTTTTTTTTTCCTTCAAATTAATACGGAAGCTACAACAGTGCCCTCTGTTGCCGCACCTCCTCAAATTTTTGTACCAAGGAGCACCAAGGAATGGGGAAATTGCACCAAGGCAAATGATAAAGGGCACCAAGGCAAATTATGGAGGACACCAATGTATAATCAGGACACAAAAAAGCAAAATAGTACCCACCTTGTCTGTACAATTCAAGCTTTAAAAAAAAAGCCACCAAAAAACCCCCCCAAAAAACCGCGTCGCCGCATCAATTCCGGAACTTCGGTCTGACCAGAGACCGACTATTTTTTTTGGGGGGGGGGCCTAAGGGTTAATGATACATTTAGAATGTAGACTTCGCAAAGCATCACACTGAAAGAAATTTAAGACAAGCATCAATCAGGGCCCATCGCAATTCATATCCGGGAAAAGTTCCGGACAAGTTGAAGGTACATGTAGAATCATCCACTTTGTCAAGAAGAAGCTCTGCATTTGTCCCGGATATTTTCCGGGAAAAACTTCATTAGCAACTGCTTGATTCACATCAACAACTTCATTGTGGGAAGATGCGGGGAAGTTGTTGAGAATCCTGCAACTTATACCCGATACAATGTCCGTAACTTGTCTGGAACTCGTCCAAGATATGAACTGAGACGGGCCCTTACACAAGCCTAAAAGTGTCGGTAAATGGCAGCCAAACATCTTGCTTACTTAACTCTAGATTGCATGACCGACTGGTTTTTATATCACCAAGTGTGGAAACTCATACAGGTAGCAGTGATCCAGAGCAGTAACGATCAATAAAAAGAGTCAATTTTGTCTCTGAAGTGCAGTGCGAGCTTCACCGTTGTGGATCTCTATGTAGCGTAACACATTCCACGTGTCTTTCTTCGTTACGGCCGAAGACCATTTTTATTACCCAAATTCACGAATGATTGAATCCGTTATTAACCGACACGGTGTATACACCATAATCATCAACCTCAATCCCAAACAAACACTACTCGCTATTCCTCACCGTTGATATCTTGTGATCATATCGGTTGACTACGCAAATTTCTTTTGGAGGAGTCTGGCCTCCATTCCTTGCGCATCAATCATCGTGCCGTTCGACAGGATGACATTTTTTTAATATCCGGAAACGCAATTTTGAGAAGGCGGTCATATGATGGATGCAGATCTGGTATCTCACTGGTAAAGGTCTGTCGGCCATGTGTGGCGAAGGAAGACATTTTTGCAACAAATAAACCATCTGGCTCCAGATCCCCGTGGTATCAACTTCACGTTTTAATATCCGCGATGAAACAAGCCGGTAACCCATGATATTTTCAAGGACCCAGATGAATCCCATCTGGTTTTAGTGCAGTAATTTAAACCATCGCGTACGGTAGATCAAGATCAAGATTCCGGTAATGATCCACCTTGGCACTAAGGCCGAAGAAATAATCTCCAGACAAAATAGTCGGACAAACAAGTCTAATTTTAAAAACTCAAGGCTGAAAGTTAAATACCACAAATTGCTCCCAACCCATCACGCATCTTCTTTTGCTTTGCCTTCATCACTGGAATTTAAATC